TGAAAGCAAATATCTCTTCCTGTAGGGCTGTCTGTATGGTTTCCACCATCCTCTGGTGGACAGAGAGGAATTTACATGATGAAAAAACATGCATTGAGTCAACTTCAACTGAAGAATATTTAAAAATGATAGCCAATTTAATTAATAGAATAAGCTCCGTATCTGTTCTATCTTGCCTTAAGAGTCTTCATTCAAAATCAAAATCTTTTATGTTCCTGGACATAATCAGCTGTAAAGTCAACAATTCATCACCAACTCATCAACAGTACAGTCATAATCTTTTTTTTTTATAGATGTAGAAATATTTTAGTGGAAATTCTACATGTAATAATATGTCTGTGTTTTTTCAAAGGTAGATTTAGTTTAGGATGACATTGACATGCAGAAGACATGATGCCTGGTCCAGGATGAATCAGATTCTCTCAGTTGCCTTTTTGCTCATGTTGTCTGGGAATATTTGCTCCATCAGTTTAATGAGGATTTACTGCAAATCCACACCGCAGTCTATTGTGTGTTTTGATCACAGCAGGATATTGGGGGAAATTAGAATAATTAATCCTCACTTTATCAAAGCCAGGAACAGCGTGTGAGAGATGAGCACAGCAGGGAGTCATTCAGTCATAACAACCAAAGTCAAATCATTTTATAATTGTGCCATCAATGCAAAGAAATGGATTTGTATAGTCAAACATGCCCCCCAAAAAATAGAAAAATGCCTGTCTCACCCTAAATTGATAGTTGGTCTGTGTAGATAGGTAGATATCTGCAGTTACTATCTGTAGTTACTATCTTTTGGGGATTCAGAAGTAGTATGTTTCCTTTTTAGAATCCTGAAAAAATTCATTACTCTGACTGAATTTTGAAGAATGCAACATACTACTAAAGCTATAAGTTATTATTTATATCACAAGAAATAAGTGGGGTCTACTGTTGTGTATTGTGTATCCACATGTCTGCAGTAACACAATGGCATTCCAGAAGTGCATGAGTATGCATTTGTTTGTTCCAGGTTTGTCAGATGAAGACAGCGTACGGTAGTCTAATTTATTCTGTTTTCTGTTTCTTATTTCTGTATTTGGATCAGAAGGGAGGAAGGGAGTGAGACGGAGAGAAAAACAGAGAAATGTGGAGGTGTGCAGTGTGTGTGATGTTAAAGGTCAAAAGCTCCACGTGCTTTTTGATGCTCTCCATTTTTTTAAACCTCCTTCTCCCACCTTGTTCACCCTGGTCAAATGTGACCTCTGATAAAAGCCCAAGCACAAACCCACACACATACACACACAGTTCCCCGTTCCAGCGCGTCAGGCTCTTTGGCTTTGCTCTCTTTGCTTCTATAACCCTCAGCTAAGATTTTGACTGTTGTCTATGTGGAAGTTAGGAAACTTTTTCAATTCAAACCTCAAGTTGAAACAGTATCCTTTTTTTGTTTCAACTTTTACATTTAGTCCTTTAAAGTCTGGAACTTGCCTTGTTAGATCTCTTTGTATCTTTAGAGCTAGTTAGGCTGCAGGATGGGAGCTGTGATGGCGGCTCTGTCTGTAGAGGCCAGGAGGCGCCTCTCCCGGCCCAGCTGTCTCTCTCACTGCGGGCACAGTGCAGCCAGGTACCACCGCTCAGGTAGGGTCCGCATGGTGACACCTTCAGATCAATTCATCTGTATGTCTTCAAATTTTCACTCAGTTATCGACCCGTCTGTTCGTCAAAAACTTCTCCACTCTGTGTAATTTTTTGTTTAATTTTCTCTCATATTTCTCTTACCTTATCAACATGTAGTCTTTTATTATCTAATCAGTATAGTCAAATCATATTGTTTTTTTAAACTGCTGGGTAACTGTTTAAATAAAAAACAAAACTGTTTCCCTGATCGTTTAACACATAATATGACATTCATTTAATTGTTCATACCCAATATTGTCCTCATGATTAAATCAGTAGTTTGAAAAATGGAGTATTTTAAAACTCATAATCACAGCTTTTTTTCTCATGGAGTATGAGCTGTACTTTGATTGTGGACTGCTATTTCATGTACAAATTATTTTTTCCAAATATTATAGTTTTTTAGTTTTAGTCTTTCATCTGCTTTTGACATCGAAAAGAAGTGAGATTATAACCATAAAAGTAAAAAAACAAAAAGATTAGTTAAAAAGATGCCCACCCGACACCACTGAGTAATCTGAAAGAATAAACTGAACAACAGGTGTCAACAATATATCCATATTTGACTCTAGAAAAATAATTTAATTTATATTCATAAACCCTTACTTTTGAAGTGTTAGGTTTTAGAACTACCCTTCAAACATTGTACAGAACAGCTGATCTTTTATGTTTTAATTTAAAACGATGTTGTGTTTGTGTGCGCGTGTGTGAAGAGTTGAAATTGATAGGATTTTGAAAGAAGAAAGAGCTTCCTGTGTTCTGGAGTCTTTCTCACTGTGAAGGTTCCTCTGATGTGTGAGACTCAGAGAAAGCTGTCTGGATCCTCTTTCCCTATTTACAATCTGTTGTGTCAGCAGACAGAACCAGGCATACCTTTTTAAAAACCTGTTAGTGGCTTAATGGCCCGTCCAGGGAAACACTCCCACTCAAAAGACCATGCAAACTCACCAGCATCAATATACAGGACAGCAAACCTAAATGCTATAAATACTGCTAACGCACACACGCACAGTTCTTCATCATTAAAGTGAATGTCTGCACTTTATGGTGACATGCGTCAAAGCCAAAGAAATCCATTGGGATGGGTTTGCTATTTCAGGGTGAGCGTCAGTCCTCAATTTTAAAACCTCTTCAAACTTGGGGTGTGGGGGAGAGGATTGAACAGTTCCACCGCCATTTCACCATAGAAATATTGATCACTCTCACTCTGGCTTCCCATCTATTTCTCAGGTTGGCCAATTTATAAACACTCATTCACATGCTGTAACTTGATGCATTTGTAAATGCAGTATTATCGGTTGCAGTATCCTCTTTTGACCTGTCCAGCGCACTCCACCATTAATGGTATTCCTCCAGGTTTTGTGTGTTGAACCTGGGGCACATGTTTCAGGAACTATTAAGGTAGTATGGTAAAGCAGGTTGAAAACAGGAGGTGAGTTGTCCCTGTGTCGCCATGCCAGTGTTTTTGAATTCACACATCATTTGACAAAGAGCTGTTTTACAGTATGACTGAAAGCACCACATATTTATACCGTGCATTGTTCAGATTATGTCAATATGCTCTAAACAAAGCAAAGGTGTCTTCTGTTCAGTCAAATGATGTAGCACAAAATCAAGAAACAAACAAAAATAAATGAAAGTAATCAGGTTTGGTGGGGAAATGGCACAAAAGCTACCAAAATTAATAAAACATTATTAATCATAAATCACTGTCACCACTCCATCATGGAACCAGATGAAAATTATCACAAAGTTCCACAACTACACAAAGATGCAAGCTGATTTCTCATGTCTGAGAAATAATCTTGCATTTATGTAAATTTATTACAGACGCACTTTATGACCATCAAGTGGTGGTAAACAGGCTAAAATAAATAAAAAGCAATACAATGTTAAATTAAATCTAAAACAAAGTAGCAGGATATTGGTACAAAGTGATATCTAAAAGATAATCTGTCTTTACAAATGTTTGCCGTAATTCAAGAGGGGGGATGTGAGGACAGAGGGGAAACTTAAAGCAAAAAGACAAAGCCATGCAAAAGAGGAGAGAACGTCTGCGGTTGGCCAAACTTCTGACAGAGGAGAAGGAGGGAGGAAGAGGAGGGGGTCAGTTCCAGGATGCGAATCAGATACACAGTAGGTAAAGACAGAGAAGTGCAGGAGGGTATAGGGAGGGGATGGATTGCATATTTCATCTGGCGCTTCTGCTTTAAGCACGTGTTGACCGTGTCCGGTGAGAAGTTTCATCTGGAAGCAGGAACACATAAATTCAGGAAGCTGCAGAGAGAGGTGGGATCGGAGTAAAAGTACGCACAGAGGAGCCCGACTCCGGAGGAGGAGGCTGTTTTCCCCACAGCCCCCGTCAGTTTCCCAGGATTTCCCTCCCTGGACGCTACTAAGTGCCTTCTTTAAATACTTTTCCTATTTAAACCTTGACTTGGACGGCAGCACCTTGCCTGATCTAAACCCCGAACGTGGATTCTGAAAGGTCCACCTGAGGTTTGCTGACCACTGTGACCCACCTCTCATGGGTTAGCTTGATCAGTTTTACCTTAATGCATGGACAGAGCAGAGTGGAGAAGAGTTTTTTTACTGGATTCTGCTCACACTAAGAAGTCAGACTGTACTCAGCTGGCAGATGAAGTATTTGCTGAAAGTTTTCTCCAAGTCAGAGCCTTAATGAATTGCTCGTATGGTTTGTGGTTGTGTGGAGTACTTTATTAATGACCTTCTTTTATTGTTGTGACGCACGAAAGATGAGAAGATGTCAGTCATTCCTGTTCCAGGACAGTGTTGTGTTCACTCAGCCTTACATCTAGAAATAATGGAGTAAAATCATTGTGTTTTTTTAATATTTCCAGTTTCCTTTATCTGATACAGTCAACTATGATGACCGATGGTGCTCGTTTGGATTCAGAAAACTGAGCTGCAACTTGTATGCAGGAAAAAAGTTTGGAAAGTGTCTCTAAACGCCTCCTTTAATGCTCTGTGATGAATGTCTTGTGACACAGCCTACGTTCTCCCTCGTGGGTCCACAGGAGGAGATTTTCCATATATGTCAGCTTCCACATATTTTCCACGTCAGCATCGGTGTTGACATTAGCCCAGCCTTCGTCCGGCTCGCTGGCCTGGTTCTCATGCTGCACCGTGGGTCTAGAAACAAACTCCCGCTGCCATTCGTCAACCGGACTGATTCCTGACACCTCTTAGCTTGCCTCTTTCGAAAACACTGGCTGTTGTCTGGTACGGCCCGGTGTGACGCGGGCCCGCCCCGGCCCCAGATAATCGCTTTGCTGAGGTCAGACCTTGGCGTCCTGGCTTGGCCTTAAGGGGTTACTGAAATCATGGGGATCCAGGGCATGGAGCTGTTTGCTATCGGCGTAGTTGTCATCATTTTCATGGCCGTTCTCAAGCAGTTTGGCATCCTGGAACCTTTTTCCTTTGAAGGTAAGGGCTTACAGATACTTGTCATTTGGTTGCCCCTGGGCAGCAGTTTAAGTTTTAACATCTATTTAATGCACAGTCTCTACCCCGTGATAATTTTTAGACTTTTAACTATTTTAAGTGATGTATTTCTCAACTATGTTAATATCCAGTTGAAGGGACAGCTGAAGTCATCCAATTGTCATTAACTTGTTGTTTAAAAGATTCATTCAGCAGGTTGCAATGCCGGATTTCAGTTGTCACATTCACACGAACACACACACACATACCCTCATAGTAGTTAGAAATAGTTATCCGTTAAACTGTAAAGTTCAATGAGTTTGTAAGAGACACTGATGTTTAAAAGATGCCATTCTCTCTCCAAATTTGGTGGTGAAATGAAAGCTAAAATATTCCCTGATGGTTGAAGTAGTCTGCGCATTTCAAACCAGTAAAGGCTTAACTTTTCAAAGTGTGTTATCAGAATGATTGACATCTCAGCTAGCATGGCTGTTTCCTGATTAGATCATGTCTTGAATGGAAATTGATGTATACACTTATGGAGCAGAATCTGCTTAACTAAGAATTCATATTTTTCACATTAGGCGTGAAATGTTTTGTAGATTTGTTCAAACAAATCATTAAGTTTTTTTTTTTGCAACTATTGAAATTAATTTTATAATATTATTACTCTTTTCTATATAAAAAACTTATCATCAAGATGGTTTTATGTACATTTGTCTGTTTCAGTGGAACGTATCAAGCTATGCTTAAAAAACACATGTTTTAATGTATTTATTTGTCCAATAATTTCTGAGATATAAAGAGATGATAACTTTTTCATTTCATAGTGACCCAAAAAAGTTTCTGGTCATTATCAAATGAACAAGAACACGATTTTTATCCAGAACTGGTCCAGTGCTCAGATATCTGCTGTGGGTTTATGTGCAATATTTAGATAGAAGACACAGCATTTACACGTTATATTCCTTTAAAAATTCTCTGTTTTCTTTTGGCTGTTCAAGTCATGCAAGTTCAAAGTTGCAAAGTTCCCCCTTTCTCAATTATAGCGCCTCATTTTCGTTGTATAAATGTACTCATACAACTATGAAAATGCAGTAACCCATCACTGAGGAACATAATCCAATAGTAAAGGAAACAATAATATATCTATTTTGACAGGACATGTGGTGCGACTGGTAATTCTAAATGCATCTGTGTCTGATTTATATTCTAATATAGGTTGTTACTAGGCAGCTGTAATAACGTAATAATTTTGCCCCCATAGTCACTGACACTAAAGCAAGTTAGTTTGGCATACAGTACAATTAAGAATAGTTGATTAAAAAAGTCCTATAATTAGTTTGAGAACAGATAAACATTATTTACAATGATTAATTCAATGTACAGTTGCTCTGAGAAATAAGCAAACAAAATAATGATCTCATGCAAAAGAGGCAAAGCTCAGTTTGCAACAGCCTCATTACACCTAAGTCTTTATGTTCTTTTCAAAATTGAAGGTAGTTTCTTGAAGTTGTGGGTTTCTTTGTACTTAATATTTAGTAGCTGTTTATCAATGCCTTTCCCTGTCAACACCAGAGTAAATTAAAGGTTTATGGGCAGTTTCATTTTGCCTAAATGTGATGTATCATAAAAACCTGAATGTTCTGTGTACATTTCAGACTGCAACTATAAAATCAGATACTTTAAATGATTTATTTCCCCTTGATTAGACTTTTACATTGAAGGCCAGAGAGCTGGAGTGCCCCGCTGTGAGCATGCCAAGACGATTACAGCCGGAAGGCTCCAGTCGGCACATTAGTGCCTCTTATATGGACCTGCTTCATAAAGTAATAAATTCCACAAAAACACCAATAATGTCTGTTCATAATTTATCAGTCCTTTCAATCTCTCCAATCTTTAATTCTTCCAATGGCTCCCGCCTCTCTGCAAACTTCCCCTCCATCTACTGCGGCTCTGTCTAAACCCTGGTTTAGCATTACTTCCCATCAATTATACATGCAGTATCGAACAGGCTTTCTCTGAGACCACCTAAATATGGAGCCCGGATTACTCCCCCAGGACCCTGAAGGACATTGGCAATCCCTCCAAAATTCTCATTGTGTTTCTTCATCCTCATTCCTCTTCATCACTGTTTTTATCACCTCCCAGAGGGACTAATTTGCCGTCTGCAGGGGCATCACCTGCTGGATCACCCTCAATCAATTCAATTCTTTGGAAGATGTAGTTTGATAATAGTAAAGTCAAGCAACATGTATATATTCTAGGATGTTAATGTCTACATGTAAGACTTTTTCAGTCCTCCGGTCAAACAGCTGTATATATGTGACTTCAATAAGTCTCTTGTCTGTCACTGGTGCTACTCTGTCTTTTACTTTGGAAACCCAGATCCTTGAACATTTGCTCTATTTCATTTAAACATTTATTATATAGACGGTTCTAGCTTTTTGATGAAAAAGAGTTCTGATAGCATTTAGGATTAAGATGTTGAGAAATGTGAGAAATGGATCATTGAATGGAAATATGGTTTCTGGAATCCTTTCCCCTTGATTACGGGCTAATGATAGAAACAGCAACTAATTGTCAGCTAATATTAGTGAATTTAGACTTTAAAGTCCAGATTTACTTCTGATCTTAATATTTCAGTCTGTTAGACTGTGCACTCTTGCGTTTGATCAATTTGTGTTTGGATTTTCGGCTAATATTCAATATATTAAAATGTCAGTCAGATATGTGGGAGGTGCAGTGGTGCCTCTGATATGATCATTGCTGCCACTTCTTTTGCTTCTGTTTTTAAACAAAAATATGTAAGCATGTAAGGCTACCAAACCAAAATTTAAACTGCATTAGCTGAGTAACAAATGAAAAAATGCCATGACAGATGGAGACATACATTTTGCTTGACTTTAGAGTGAAAGGACGTTATAAAATTGATTTATTACTGACTCATTATCATGGAAGATGTTATTTCTTGAAAATTGCAACAATGTTCCTTAAAAATAATTACTGATTAATTTTAAATGGATTACAATTTTTAAATAAAGGTTTAGCTTCTCAGTACTTACATACTTTAAGAAAAACTTTCACTCTTATAAATAAAAGACACATTAACTTTCCCGATCTGTGATTAGAAGACATTTTAAGCTTTTCAAGCTTGAGTAAAATCAGTATCACATCGCCCACATTTGGTTGTTATAGAAAAAACATAAGGAAAGGACTATGCAAGGCCCGAATTACTCGATAATTGTCACTTTCCCTGCCGTAACACTACATGAAAGTATTCAAAGCAATGCTAATGCATTAAGATTAACTTCAAGAAAAAATACAGCTTAGTTTCTTGTTAAGATTTCAAATGTGAGACACATATGGCAACATTCAACAGAGCTTGGTTTGTGGTTTGAGGGAAGGTGTCTGATCCTTTCTATCATCGTGTTTGCATAACTAAATATTTGATCCAGTTGTCAACTATATAGGTGGGATTGTTGTAGTTTCAGCAACACATTTTCCCTGAAAAAATAGTTTGCTCTTCCTTGTCTAAACAATATTTTTTTCTCGAAGGAAACCAAGTTGATTTACATAAACATCTGCAAAGATTTCATCATTCCAATAGAAATAAGGCTTCTCTCTGCCTCTGTGTGTTTACAGAAGATTTTAGTCCATTTTAGGTAAAAAGATACAGGCAGCATGATTCCCTGTTGAAAGTCCTGGTTTGAGTTTAACTGCACAGTGTCTTCACTCACGCCAAGTCTGCATGAAAAAAGAGGATCAATTTGGTATAATTATGACAAGATGGGAATTATGCATCAGTTGAAGGTTAGATATGCTGCATTAATGAGCAGATTGATAATCTGGGGTAAAGCTGATATATCAAATGATTTATATTATCAGCAAAAAACAAATGGTCCTTTAAATCAGCCCTATTAGAAATGCATGTGTCAACCCTTGTTTATGTTTAAACGTGTATGTATATGTATACTTTTAGTCCATTTCAGAGATCCAATTTTAAACAAAACTGCAGGCTGGGTGGTGGTTGTCTCAGACTTATGTCGATTTTGGATTAAGTCCAGCACGGGGTTATTTTGGGACGACATCAATTCCAGAGGAAGCCTTGTCATTAGAAATGTACAAGCATTATTTTCAGACTGTCTGATACCAGAGTCTGGTATATTTTTACTCTTCATTTGACTTCTGTAGAGGTTGTTTTTTTTAAAGTAATGAGTTATATCAATATTTTAAGAGGAAAAACTGAGAAAAAAACAGGAGTTGGATTAGTTTTATTGGCTGTTGAATAGCCTTTACTCTAATCATTTAGTTCTGTTTTACTGTAAATATGCAGTAGTTAAACATTAACATGGAGTTTGGATGCTGTGGTCTAATAAAAAAGCACGTAGTCATTTGCAAATGATGACATGTTAGATGTTGAATCGGAATTTATATTTTATATGTTAAAACAGGCAGGCAGGCCAGCAGGCTTTGCTATGAATTATTCCTCTTATACATGCAGAATGTGGTTCTTCTGTGTTGTCTTTCAGAGGGGTTTCTGGGTTCTCAGCAGTTTTTTTTTCAACCTTTGGCTCATTTTTCTTGATTCTCTCAATCTGTTAATGATATTATTAACAGAAAATGATTAAATGCCCAATGTTTGAAGGGTGTTCCCAACACATTTTTTTTTTTTGATGGTGAGTATTCACATCTTAACAACTGACAGACTCTCCAAGATGATTTTCTAGTTTCTTATAATTTTATATCTAATACATTTATTTTTAATACCCTTTGAAGTTCTAGTCTCATGGCTGACCTGTGACCAAAACAAATTTTCAATCATTAAAACTGGCTTCCAAAGCAACTTTTGGCCTTGTCTAAATTTCTGTAATCATTCACAGCAGTGATCCTCTGCAGTATAATCTAGTTATTAGATTAGTATAATTTAGTTATTTAACTAATGTTGTACATTTCGTCAATATCTATATTCAAGACAGGATTTTTGATGACTAGAAAGGAAAAAATGGCTTCATTGCAGTTTCATGTGTGATCCTCCTGTTATTTCATCAGTTTCCACTAGAGGGATGCAGACAGTGAGATGGGTTCTGAAGAAGCGTCACAAGGCCCGAGGGAGCGTTTCCTCACCATCTCTCTTTATTACATGACTGTGACAGGACTCCACTCGTTAAATCTGTGCTACAGACCCCAAGAGGGATGCGGGAACAATTAGAAAGTGGATCACTGAGCTAAGTGGGAAAATGAGATTCAGGACACCTGTTAACCTTTGTCAGCACCCTCTCTGGTGCCTTAAAGGCAAATTATTATTTTCCCATCACATTTACAATAAGGAACTCAAAGATTTGTCCATCTTCCCTTTTTCAAGCTCACCTGCAGAGTGAATTATGTTCTTCCTGTTTGTTTTTGTTTTCTTTCATTTTTCTAATAAAAAAAGAATGAGTGACTCCTCTATTGCTCCTCGGGAGGTTGCTCCTCATAGGTTAATTTGCATAGGGAGAGGTGTTAGATAGCAGAAAGAAAAAGGCAAATGATCTATCATTTAGTCCGTGGTTGACTTTTTCACTTTGAAATTAGTTTTATGTGCAAATGAAGAAAATCTCCTTCGGACGGCAAATCTAAAAGATATTTGTGCTCGACTCGTCCGCATATTGTATTGCATTTTGTTACGGATTTGCAATATTTTTTAGAACTGTTTCTATTTTTAGACATTTGTACTGTTGTACAGTTGTCTGGGCCATTTGGTCTCTTTTAAGAAGGATAACATTAACACTTTCCTTAGTTTTGGAGTAATCCTGAGAGCCCCATTTAGAGCACGGGAGAGCACAGGGAAAAAAAATACACTCAATTAAAAAGGCAGAAGGGGAGGGCTAAATAGAGTAACAGAGATAGCATGGGAAAAATTTGACAAAAAAGGAGCGATGAGTGAGTGACACTGTTTCAGAGATGGGAAAGACACAGAGGAGGAAGAAACTGTGAGAGACCGGAAGACGCAGATGGATTCAAACAATGTGTAGATTCGGTCCAGTTATGTAGAGGAAGGGGAAAAGAAAGGAAAGGATCGTGGAAGAAAATCTTCAAGCAGAGGTGAAGATGAGTGTGAGATGGGAGACGGAGGGACTCCAGACAGTTGGCATTGTCTGTCTTGTGATCATGTTTCTGAAGCTGATGCACCTGCTGGGCCTCATCGACATCACTGAGACTGGTGAGACAACATGGGGCGGGGTGGTGTGGATAAGGAGAAATGACGTGACGCAAGGGAGTTATTGCAGTCTACCCACAGATATTTAACAAAACATGTACAAAGGGTATAAGTGACAGAGATTTTACAAAATGTGTGATTTGACAACAGGGTCGTTGATTTTAGCTTGAGTTGTTAGCGGATCCCATGAATACCAGCAGTGTCACTGTGTCAGAACACCTTGAAAACCCATCGATTAACCCCCAAATTATTCCTATACATGGCAAATTTGTCACATTGTCCTAACAGGACAAAAATGTCATTTCTATGTTTTACCTTTTTTTTATTTGTTTACCTTCAGCAGTAAAACGCAGCAGATTTTATGCATGTTTCTGTCTGCTTTTTGTGCCAGTCCTCCTCCATAATGATATGCAGGTGTAAAGACGGTCACAGTCTTGTTTTTAGTTCACAGATCCACAGATTCTGGATGGAATATAAAAGATTAGTAGACGCTTTCATTCAAAGTGACTTATAAGGATACTGTAGAGTGCATCAGTAGGCAATATGGGGTTAAGTGTTTTGCCCAATGATGTGTCAACATTTGTGTATTTCTTTGGCAATGGAGACAAATCACCAAACTTTCACTTTATAGGTGACTTCTCTTCCTCCTGAGCTAAAGCCGATATTTACTGTTTGTTATCTCTGATTGCAAACTCCAATTCATCAAGATGCTGTTTTTTTGTTTCTCAGGGGTTGAGCAACCTTTTTTCCTGGAAATAGTGCCAAGCCTCACATTCATATCTCCAGAATTAACCGTGACATGCTTCTTATTTCTCTCACCGAGTAATGGCCAAATCGCAGTGTGCATCCACATGTCTACAAAGCTAACTTTTGGTCTAGGTAACTTTTTGTATGGCTGTGTCGTTATGGTGAGTCCTCCTTGGTCAGATATCTGCTAAATATTAAAACCAGACATATTCATATAAGAAAAAGTCTGATCAGAAAGTACAATACTGATAGCTGTGATAGTAAAAACAAAAACAAAGACAATAGAGAGGAGTAATAGATCCTTTTTGGCACAGCCATGTTAAAAATGGGCAAAAAAAGGAACATTTTTATGGGAGTTCCTGAAGAAACTTTAGTCAAAGTAAAATTCACTTGACCAGTATGCAAAGCATTGAAAGAACAAATGCAAGATGTGTGTGTAAAATCTAGTCACTATAAGATGTTTGTTTTTATCATGTTGGGGAATGTGCTCATAAACAATTTTTACACACTGTCAGCTTTGCATAAAGACGCAGATGTTGCTTCACTAATTTGTTTCAGCCGTAAAGCTGAATGAAACTAATTATGTGGGATAATGTTCCAGTGATCATGATAATGACAGCAGGTGTCACCTCACAGTGTCGATCAGACTCATTATCTCTCAAAGATGAACAGAGTAGTCAGATCTCTGTCCTGTTTAGTTTCACACAAGGATGTTTATGAGGCATACAAGTGTCTGAAGTAAAAAATGGATTAAAAAGACAGAAAGAAAGATTTTGTTTCCCAAAACTTGATAATCTTGCACACACTGAGGCTCTGTGTCAGATGATTTCAGCTTTGGCTCAAATCTTTGGTATGGGTTCTATCTTTATCATATCTTTTAAACCTCAGATTGAAACCGTATTACACAGGGAGATCTGATAAGTTAGTATTTGTACAGAAAGAATTTGGGGAAGGATACAAACAAATTTAGACTGTCTACATGCCCAATACAAATACCTCTCAATCCAAATTTTTTCCCAATATACAGCTACAGAATCCAGAAACTCTCAAGTAAATAGATATTATAAAGATGCAATCCCACAGTCCACAGCGTTATTCTCATTAGAAAACTGATGAGCTTAACATCTTTGAAATAACACACGTAAGCAACGATTTTGTGATGTTTGAATTAAGGGAAATGTGTTTCAGCTTAATAAAATCTTTACTCCTTCACTGGTAACTGCAGTGTGACATTGCATGCCATGTGAAGGCCAGAAAAAAAGGGAGATGTCTCAACTCCTCAAAACCATCATAAAAACCTCTCAGTGTTCAACGTGTCTTGACTTGTTTTCTTTTGTTTTTTTCTTTCTCTGTCTGTCACTCTCTCCCTGTTCTCCATTTACTCTCTATCAACCCATCTCGATGCCAACACCCCTCCTCCTCTGTTCTCTTTTTCTAAAGATGGTAAGTATGGAACGGCAGAAGCCAAGCTTACTTTGAGAAAAACCTCCCTTGTCTTTTCTCAGTTGTGTAGTGCTTTCTCTTAGCGTGTGTAAACAACTGCCCAATACTATCACAGTAATTACTTTGTGATTTGAGTTAAAAGCATCTGGAACGAGCTTCTCAAATTTTGATATTTCTTTCTGAATGAGAAGGATGCATCAAAAGATTCTAGTTTTGTGACACCGCCACCTTAAAGAAAGTACCTCTTCCTCTTTTTTTTCTTTTTCTTTTACTTCCTTGTAACCCGTCCTTTGCTCCTCTACAAAGTTTTTCGGATTCTTTTTCCCGAACTCTTACATTTTCCCCAACTGCTGCACTGTTGAATGTTTACACCCACTCCCCTCCCGGCCTGCTACCATTCACTCAGTGTCTGCCTCGCCCTTCCCTTTTTTCTCTCAATCCTTCTCTCTCCACATTACTCTTCTTCCTCTCCTTTCTTTACCTCCTGCCTGTCTGTCTATCCATCCCTTTCTTCCTCCCACAGACAGCAGTGACAGTGATTTGGAGCTGTCGACGGTGCGTCACCAGCCAGAGGGGCTGGACCAGCTGCAGGCGCAGACCAAGTTCACCAGGAAGGAGCTCCAGTCTCTGTACCGTGGCTTCAAGAACGTATGTGTGACCGCTTGCTCTTTAATGCTGTCGTAAGGTGACTTCATCTGATTATATACATCTCCGTTTTTTCTGGCCTTGAGCAGGAGTGTCCCAGTGGGCTGGTTGATGAGGAGACATTCAAGTCCATCTATTCTCAGTTCTTTCCCCAAGGAGGTTAGACATTGAAACAATCTCTCCTCTCTTTTTCTTTTTATGTTTTATCAAACCATGCAAGGATGCAGAAATGCCGTCGTTTCTTGAAGATGCTTATTCAAATATTTGTAAGATCCAGGGTGGATTTTGAGGCGTCTGCATTAATTGCATAATCTCATTTGTCTGATCTCAACCAGGCAATGGCGTCTTTGTAAGAGGATTGTGCAGCGTTTGTTGCTCTAACATCTGTGTGCATTTGTCAGCATTACATTCACATTTGTGCATTTAGCAGACGCTTTTATACAAAGCGACTTACAAAAAGAGGGTTTAACATTCAACTACAACACCAGTTACACACTTACCTTGAGTGCAATATGCTAGAAGAGGATTTACAGTAAGGATTTAATATTCAACTAAAACACAGATTACACCAGTACCATACATTGAGTGCTATATGCTATTAAGAAATAAATGCATTTAGAGCTTTCAGGACAAGAGATACTCTTGGAAGAGCTGGGTCTTCAAGGAGGAAAAAGAATCTGATGCCCTGATAGTGATTGGAAGGTAGACGTGGAGGTGCTTGTGGAGGTAGATGGACGTGGATCCATCAAACACTAAACCAGCATCAGGGATTTGAATTTGATGCGAGCAGCCAAGGGAAGTTGTGTGAACAGGGGTGTGACATGTGCTCTCTTTGGCTGGTTGAAACCCAAACGGGCTGCAGCATTCTGGATCTGATGGCACAGGCCGGAAGGCCTGGTAGGAGGGTATTGCAGGAGTCGAGGCGGGAGATGACTGAGGCCTGTACTAGCAGCTGTGTCGCATGTTGGGTTAGATATGGCCCAACATGCGACACATGTTGGGCCAGTTAAGCTTGAAGGATCGCCCATTTGGGTAGGATTCAAACCAAGAGTGTGCTATGCCCTCGATGCCCATGTCTGCCAGCTCGTTTAGAAAGACGCCGTGGTTTACAGTACCAAATGCTGCCGACAGGTCCAGCAGGATGAGAGCTGAGGCTTTGGCTTCTTTCAAAAGAAAGAGAAAGCTGCTCTCCACAAATGCTTTTTAAATTAGAAAATTGCCTGTCACTGATTTTATTGTTCGTACTTATAGCTGTTTGTTTTTGTTTTTTTCCATAGATGCAACCACCTACGCTCACTTCCTGTTCAATGCTTTTGACATTGACAGAAATGGTTCAATCCGCTTTGAGGACTTTGTCATTGGACTGTCAGTGTTGCTCAGAGGTTCAGTCACAGAGAAGCTTAACTGGGCTTTTAACCTCTACGACATTAATAAAGATGGCTACATCACCAAAGAGGTATGTGACAGTGACACATGTAACTTTTTAACATTAAAAGTCACAATAAAAGGGGAAAATTTCTGTTATTCTGATGGGCACAACTGTAACAGTCAGAGATGTACTTGTTGCTGGATTTTTTGGGAGGAATGGAAGAGAATTGTGAAGTTTGCCCATGCTTGCCCACAGATCCCAGTGTAGCAGCTGTAGTAATTTTGGTTTACATTTACATTGCATTTAGTACCCTTTAACAACTGTGTTTTTTCCTTTTATAACACTATTATGTAAAGACATTTAAAGCAAACAAAGGTTCCCATCAAAGAAATAACCTTGAAAACACGTTCAGAAACCTTTTCCTGAGTTTGATGAGAGTCAGCTTTCTTCCACATTTACTTCAGAGTTAAACTTTAACCATGTTGGACCTTAATTACTTAAGTGTGAGACCACAGTTTTTGCACATGAATTGCTTTTAAGCCAGTATCTCTCTGGAGTGGCTTGTTAAACCGCTTTAAAGTGTGCTTTAAAAAATCCAGCAAGCCATACATCTGAAGTAACCTGAAGGCATCCACACTGGAAGGGACAGTAAATGAGCAAATGTACCCGTGACTTGTCTGTTCATGCTGTCAGATTCAAACTTTGCTAATGTCAGAAAAAAAGACCTCAAATGGTTGTGAGAGGAAGAGCGTGTTTAAGTCCTATCTATGATCATTGTCTTAATGCATGTGTTTTTGATTTTCTACGCCCTTCCCCACCTTAGCTCAGCAGAATATGATTTTAAAGGTTATGTGTGGAATTGTCTTTTGGTAGATGTGAAATTACATCGTTTGTCTTTCATTGTTTGTCAAATTTGCCTTTAGTCTAAAGGATCCTGGTGTAACTTCACTTTAATCCCAGGTTGGAATTTACCCCTTATGTAATTATTTGTGGTGTACATAGATTGTTTGGGAAAACAAAAAGATACAACCTGACTTTGCTCTATTTAACACACAGTTCCAAAAGTTTAGAATTTGTTGTATCATTTGGATAATCTGTGTGACTTGTGGGGAATAAAGTAATAAGTGAAATCACTGATTTATTGAAATCTTGCTAATTTAAATAGAACAATGAGGAGACATCAATGCACTGTAGTTACATAAGAGCTTGTGGATTAAAAAAAAAGATTTTTGTTTAACTTTTCTGCTGTCTTTCTTCCTCAGGAGATGCTGGCTATCATGAAGTCAATCTATGACATGATGGGGAGGTACACCTACCCTTGTGTGAGGGATGAAGCACCTTCTGAGCATGTTGACAAGTTCTTCCAGGTCCTGAGTGCACACTTACACACACACTAAACAAAAACAAAAGCTTGAGGCATCTTCTTTGACTGATCGGTGTAATTTTTCTTTTGCCAACAGAAAATGGACAAAAACAGAGATGGTGTAGTGACGATTGAAGAGTTCATTGAAACCTGTCAGAAGGTGATTCATACTTTTTCATACACTCCCACACACAAACTGATGGACTTTGTTGCATTACCACATCCACCTCACAGCAACCCAGCAACAGAAATAATAAAAAAACGGGTCTGGGTACCATTCTCAGCATTTTTTAGTACTGCTTGCATGTCTAGGAAAATGTCCCCTCTGTTCTCCATAAATGTTCCACTCTCCCATTCCTCCTATAACACTGGGGTCTGCAGAGTGTATCCCACTACTATCAACTTTTGAAATATGTTCATTCGTTGATCTATTATTAGTCCAAGTTATAAACCGACTACAAAAACCAAAGAAAGACACAAGCATGTACATTATACACCCAAACCTGCAAAACAAATATAAACATCTTCATCCAGGGTACATATGGAAGATATGTTAACTTTCCATGTATAGCTCAGACAGTTTTGTAAAGATACTAAATGTGCCAGCATAGCCATTTCGTTTTTTAACACACAAACATGGGTTTAATGTAAAAGACAAAGACAGCCTGTGCATTACTGATTGACAGAAAATGTAATAAATGCCTGAATCTTATCAGAAAGTATGCTAAACACAGAGCCACCCACGCCAGTGGGAAAAAACACAATTCCACACGCAAATGGATGTACTTTTCTGCACCATCAGATCCACTTCACCGTCACTCAGCAATACAAACGGTGCACACGTGGTCAGGGTCACTGAATCACTGTCAGCGACAGCAGGATATGAAGTTGTTAAAACTAAGAGTATTTCTATTTGCATGTCCAGGAAAGGGTCCATGCTGATTTCCCAAAATACTGCATCGTCCTACCTCTATCCAGAATGTCTTTTTTTAAAATCTGCTTTTAATGGCATGTTTGTCTATAAATCAAAATTTTTTATACTTGACCCTTCATCTTTATCTCTGTGTGTCATTGTTTATATATATATCAAATACATTCAGGACAGGGAGGAAAAAATATTAGATTCCTATCTTGAAACACAGCTGTCCTAGTGTTTTTACATTTTTATACCAACTAATTTTAGGGTAAAGTTTATCCCATCGTGGAAGCGGTTACGTATGCCCGGTACAGGCCACCAAACACCTGGATTTCATGCAACTTGTTATGCCATTGAGAAATTAATGTTCTTCCCACAAATTTTAGAATTTTGTTGTCATTGTCTGTTCATGTTTTTCTACTAATCTGTGAATTTATCACGTTTTTGTATGGGACACAAACTAAAGCCCATCTTACATCTCAACTTTTCGTAGATCGAACTGACCATTTGCAGAAGAGCAAAACATGCCCCATTGTCCTTTTCCTTTTGAATGCCCAATTTGTGACATCCTGTGCATTACTGATTGACAGAAAATCTAATAAATGCTGAAATCTTATGGGAAAGAATGTTAAACACAGAGCCACCCACACCGGAAGGGAGAAACGTGTTGCATGTGATTCACTTTGTGTACTTTGTTCAGTCTGCTGCATACAAACAGAAATTCCTGTCCATTTTAGAGGCAGTGGTGAAAACCAGACATGTCATTTCCATTCTATCATGACCCAGACCCAGACCCAGAGAGACTTTGAGTACTTTTGGTTTTTAAAGGTGCTGTTTCTGCAACATGCTTGAAATGACATGAAATTCTTCCAATCCTGGGAACATCAGAAAAATTGTTTTAATGTAATAACATTATCAACTCAATCTTTTGTGTTTGGTCAGGTTCAGTGTTTATTCTTTCAAAGATGTATGCCACATATGTTCGGATTTTGAGAATCACAGTATCTATAAGTCTTTTTAAAAAGTGTATCTCATACCTACTGTATTTGGAAGAAAAAAGATGCAAGTTTTATTTTTGTGAGATTAATCTGCTCGGTGATGTCTTGTTATTTCCACCTCCAGCCTCCTTTATGTTCAAGCAGAAATGAGTATGATCATTTTGCACACAGCTAGGGATTACATTTTTGCGCTATTTATATAGCAACAAATTCAACTGCTCTGTTTTCTTCATTCATAAGCTTTTAAAGCTGTTTGTAACCAGTTTGACAAAGATTATGTATGAGGAAAATAGTCTATTAGCCCCAACAACAACAACATATTTTGTGAGGACATGACTTCAGCACCACATAGTTAAACATGATTATAGATGTCACCAGTCTAACAGGCTCCATTAGAGCAAAGTAATAGGTTTATCATTGTTTGAAAAAAATGTTCTTTAAATATAAATCTGTAACCTGATATCTTAGTACTTCAACTATGAAATGCCGCACATAGAACATTTAACAGTTTGTAGTTGTTTTGAGTTTTAAAAAACTAGTTTAGTTTGGGTTTTTCCCACCTTCCAACAGGGCATTGTGTAATTGTTCTATTTATAGTTACTGATACAATCATTTGACCTTGAAATTAACAATGAATGATTTCTATTGCTGTATCAAATTAACAAAAAGGGTTTACTCTAGAGTGCTTCACTGGTAAACCTCAACCTTTTTGTCAGATTGTGTAACTGACAGATGCTGTTTTGCATATTTTCTTATTTCCAGGACGAGAACATCATGAACTCCATGCAGCTGTTTGAAAATGTGATATGAAAACATCTGGAAGCTCTCAGTCTTTCATTAGCACAACTCGCATATATAACGCTGAGCAATCATCCCCATTCCCATTCCCATTCCTTCACATTGATGTATATTGTAGGTCACACTGGCACATAATGTAGGTTCCGTAAAATTACAGGAATCGAGATGTTTTTTTACTTCCCACTTTGCTCCTCTAGCGGCATCTTACCACTGTCTGTGGATTAAATGGACTGTTTGCTGGGTAAACTCTGCGTCCACCATAGTTCAACAGAAGAGCTGCTTATGCTGTTATCAGAAAAGGAAAAGGATCAGTGACCAACAAGGAATGAAGCGTACAGTAATTCATTGACCTGAGTCCACTTAAAATAAGCTACAACAGTAAAGTACACACATATGGACCAGAAGCCTCATGAAGAGTTTATAGAGCACTGAATGATGTACAAAAGAAGTAAAGGAAAAGAAGAGATTCAAAGCATGTTTGTCATGAAATATGTGACGTGAATTAGCTTGCACTACACTTTTATGACTGTATAATACGCGCCTGAAATAAACGCGCTGTAGATACTGTTGCCTGTTACACCACTGATGCAAACCAGTGTATGTATATATGTATAGTTAATAGTGATAAATCCTACTTTGGTCTCCTCAGTGCTGCACTGACTGAAGGAAAAAGACCAGACCGGAATATTTGTTTATCAAATCTCTGTGTCCATTAGTTTTATATTCATCATGTTTAGTAGTTTAAATTAATTGTTCAAGTACATTCTCTTGTTTTTGTGTACGTTTATGAGGTTTTGTTACCTGGCAAGATTGGAAAAAAGTGCTTCTTTACAGTTCTGTGGACAAACAAAGGACTGTTAAAAGTGTGTTTCATTGCTGAATTAAGGCTTTAACATGTTGGTTCAGTGTATGTGAGCATGCTTACTGAAGACCCACAGTATTCTATACAGTATAGCTAAGCCCTTGTGATCTCATTTGATTAAAGTTGTTGCCCTGACCTCTCTATTTTCAATGATTTCTGCACTCTGAGACAAAGCATCTTGTTATGATGAGTTAACTATTTAATTTGAAAAAAAAACTTTGCCAAGCCCCAAAGTGAAATAATATTGCAATAGTAAATTAACAATAATAATAATAAGAAGAAACTGGGATAAGAATAAAACTAAATTCAGCTAACACACTTATGCAAGTTCACACCTTACAAACTACTTCAAAGTACAGGTTTCATAGATTTAAATGAAGAGGGGTGGAGGGAAGAAAAAAAAGTGTGGGAAAGCACCAATACTTAATGAAGTACCACCGTTGGAAACCTTTCATTTTGGCTCAAATGATTAATTTCTGTTGTGCAGGCCATCTTGAGTATGTTGCTGGATAATTACTCTCCTGTAACTGTAACAACCGTAATAATCCTGTAACTGTTAACAGTTAACTGTTATGTATAAGATGTTAATGCCTGTGGTTGGTACAGAATGATGACACAGGCCTCCACCACAATATGCACCAACGAGATTTATGCGCAATCATGTCCATGAAGGGAAAGGGGTGTTTATCTTGTAGCTTGGAAATAATTTAGCTAATGATGTCACACACTGTTTACAGGTAATATAAACGCAGAATATAAAGATTTCAGATTTTACACTACTCTGCTGAACAGTAGATAACACTCTCTATCCAAACTAAAAACCAGTAAAAAAAAAATTCTTTTGGGCAGAACACAGTAAGTAGGACATGATATCTACTTTGTGTATCTCAAATATTTGTGCTGGCCAAGACTCAGGCATTACAAACAATTTTCTGGCATCATTGGTAGAATGAGAAAACCACACGTACTTCTAAATGTGTAAGTGGGTGAGAACAGTGAAAAGTTCAAGAAAGTCTAATATTGTGAAATAATGTACTTGTACTAAGAAAATGAAAATATTCATTGAAGGCCCAAATAACTTCTGTAAGAAATAACATTTTCATAACTCAAAAAACAAGTAAGAAACAATTGTGGCCAAATGAAACTTGATGCCTTTACACAGACTAAAAAGAAAGATACATGCAGGGAGTGTGTACTTGTGTACATGTCTATGTGTTGCATAATTTTTAAAGCATTTGGCCATGAATGCATCTTCATATACTAGATTGTTAAGAATATGCCTCTAAAACTTGTATCAATTTATCTTTGGACTTGTGTCAGACACCGTTGTATAAAATGAGCCCTCTGAAAGGTTTGGAGATTAAAGTGTGTTAATCTCGGATTTACTGTTAACTTATACATCATAAATATGTTTTGTAAGGACCTTATTGTACAACGCTGTTCTGTTTCAGCTTGAAAACTAAACAGTAAACATATCTCAGATGAATGTTGTGGAGTAGACAGTACAACTAACAATTTGTAGAAATGTAAATACCTTTGTAAATCAACAAACAGATTCCTGAGAAGGTCACAGAAAAACAAATCCAGAACAGAGGTAATTCAACAAAAGTGATGCAAAATTAAAAACATAAGACGCAAAACACAAGCGATGCCAAGCATTTAAAAGAGGTTACACATTTAACAAAATCCTGCAAATGTATATAATTTAACAAATAAATGCTTAATAAAATAAAACTAAATAGAATAAACATTGACTACACGTGTTGTACAACTATCCACCGTTAGATACACCCTGAGGCATGTTACTCAACAAGGTTATGCCACTATAATACTTTGATCCAAAACGTGTGCGTGTAGGCCAGTCAAGGCAATGCCGGCAAACAACCACCAGATGGCAGTGTGGGGAAAAACAAAGGCAAAATTCCCGAGCACAAGGCAGGCAGTCATACTTTTCACTGGCTCGGGAGTAAACTTGCTGCTCAAACCGTAGGACTAGCACAAAAAAAACACACAGAGATATCTTATGCAAGAAAGGTTATTATAACAGAAACTGTTCCGGCCTCCGCTCCTGACATCTTGCCGGGAAGGGAGGCTGTTTTGCGTCATCCACGAGCCGCTCCTGATTGGCTGACGCTCGATTTAAGGGCGGGGCTAGGGGCTGGCCTTCGGTGTCACGGGTAACACGAGCATGCGCACTGAGGAACCTCAACCCCCGTGGCTTTATGAAAGCCGATATCCCCCCCTCCCCTCCACCTCTACGGATAGCGCGTCAGGCAGCTGTTTTAAAACGGTCCGTGCTGATATATAACCGAAGGAGAGCAGCAGGTCTTGAAGGAACGGAGCTTGACGACGGTCTGGTCCCTCCATCTCCGGCTCTTGGTGCCTCCGTCTCCCGCTTCAGCAGCACCAACCACGGGGACGAGCCAGCGGACGTAACGTTACCCAAGAGGGGAAGTGGGCTCCGTCTTCTCTTTCATCGGGCAGGTGAGTACAAAACGTGGCGTTTATAATCCCTAATGACAGATTTCCCCGTTCACGAGCGGCTCCCGGGAGGGGGGAACTTTTTGTTTTGGAGACCGCCGGCACGTCGTAGCTGCCGGAGGTCAGGTTTGGCGGCGTGCGACGCTCAAAGATGTTAAGATCTCTCCTCCGGCTTATTATAAGACTTCGTGGGCAGACCGTGGGTCTGCTGATGCTCCTAGCGTGACCGTGAAAAACCAAGGCCCCATTAGTCAAGCTCGTCCTTCATCTTTCTCACTCTTAGGCAAGATAAATAACGGGTGGAGATGCGTTTAAACGCATGACCTATCACTTATCTGTGTGTTTTGGAGGCCCGAAGCCTCAAGGTTTCCTGATAACGTGGGCTTTATTGTGACTCTGACACGGCAAAGCCAAATATCCACCGGTCACATCTCTTTTCGTGAGTCATTTCGGATTAATCAGACGTGAAAAGGTCGAGCTGCTAAGAAACAGCCGCGTCCAGGCTGCTCTAACTGGAACATTAAAGCTCACTTGCCCATTAAGATTTATTATTTCCTGGTGGGGTCGGTGTCCTGGAGACGAGGCTAGATGGATGCAAACGTCTGTCACTGGGATCACAAATCATTGTCAGGCTACAAAAGAGTCAAATGAGCAGATTATGTTGGCAGGATGTTAAATCTGGTAAAAGATGCTGCATCCTTATGACGCCTGGAAGTGGGCCCGGGGGAGAGATCCAACATATCTCACTATAATCAGTTTAATCAGATTATATTTCTTGATGACAGTACCATTCTCAGTTTGCTCAGTCTAGAGATTTTTGGCACATGGTTGGCTCAAACAAAACATCTTTATTATGAGACCGACGTCTCTCAATTTGTCTCTTTCATAATCCGAGCTCTTAAACCACCATAAGCAATTGGAAGAACACATGAAAGCTATTTATTCTGCTCCAGAGAATGACTTTTTGTTCTCCATTTACATCACTAACCATAAAACCGTGTATGATAACTTGGACATGATGGTTCCTTCTGTTGCGTGCAAAACACATTTTTAATGCTTTGTGTAAGATTGAAATAATAAGGACTCTGGATTTTGGCATTCTTTCTTTCTTTCTCTCTTTCTTTCTTTCTTTCTTTTTCTTAAATGTCCACCTCTGCTGTTCTCCCTGTTTTCCTCTCTGTACCGGCACCTGTTCCTGTCGTGTACATCTGATATGAGAATGGATAACTGGCACGTTTGATGTCTTAGATCGAAACCACAGTTTGTGAGTGTATGTCTCCATGAGCGTCTGGGTTTAATGGTCGGAATTTGCACATACTGTTTCCCCATCGCTGAGAAATGGTTATTTGAGTTCTGTATTTCCTGCAGTTTGAAGAGTTCATCCCTTAGCAAAAGCTATCCAACCAGAGAAAATGAGAGGTGCAGAGGTTGATTCGGGTCTAGTTCCCAATGTGTGTGTGTGTATATATATATATATATATAATAAAGGTACAAAAGTTGACACTTTGCTGTGATAACATGATTTAAAAACACTAGTTGCTTTAGCTATTATTAAGAAGGATGGGGGATTTACCTCGGATAAGACTAATAAAATCCCAGCCCTACTGCTGCCAGACATTAGTTCAACCTTTCCTCTGATCTCACCCTTACCTCTTTGTAGTGGCCTTTTCTTCTTATATGCACCGGAGCAGATGTTAATTGTTTTCTTGTATTCTCAGTTAACCCCCCCCCCCCACCCACTCCAGATGTTAAGGCCTGCTATCTCATTGAAATGAGATGAATCATCCTGTGCTTTATCGTGCAACTTGAGTGTAAAGTCATTGCACTTGAAAACAGATGCAGGTGATCTGTTGGGGTTGAGTGGCTATTATCTCCAGGAGGCAGCTTCCTCAAAGTGGAGTGACGACATGACGCTAAACCTGACACGTCTATCTCAAGGCTGGAAACTCAGCTCCGAAAATTTCTGCATCCTGTTTTTATGCGGCTTTGTGATGGGAAGCCGAGGGTTTCCTCTGCTTTGATGCTTCTTCCAGGATGTTTGTCCAGTTGTTTTTATTATTCTCCAGCCCCTAAGGCCTCTGTTTACAGAAGAGTGGCCAGGTCAGTGTTGTCCCGGACTGTGAGCATGGCTTCGCCACTCATAAACCACGTCTACACCCTCTCTGCTCATTAGAAAGACGAGGAGCACGGTCACCAGATGCAGTCCGGCGTGGTGGACGGTGGCCTTTCAGTTGGCAAGAACCACTGTACCCGAGACCTGGTCACGTCCGGCCCACCGCTGCCCGTGTTTCAGGGGAGAAATGAACGATGTAATACAGCTTTAAATACGCACACTAAAAGACATTTCTCATTTGATCCTACATAAACAGATTTATTGGTTGTGACTACTGTGATGGTGGTCCATATTAAATGGACCTGACAATATGGTGTCAGGACTAGATGTTCTTGTAATTTTTTTTTGTAATTGTTCTTAATAACTTGAATGATTGCCAGGTGGATTGAAGTGTGTTGATTGTGAGTCAAATCTGACGGCGTCATGAAGATGTGAGGACATCGTGTAAGAGTTTTGCCTCGAAACATTTCATAGCCCCATCTGACTGTCACATGGAGACACGGAGGGGGGTTCATCACAACCAGCTTTGCTATCTGCAGGAGGAAAAGGGTTTTTCCATGAATCGAATGAAGATTTTATGGAAAGATTTCAATTTTCTGTGACCATATAATGGCACGAGTTATATACGAGTTATATACACACAGACAGACAGACATACAGTCTTAAATTATATAAAATTACTGTAACATGCTCCAAATGTCCAACAAATGTACTCCTTTTGTAAATTATTGAAGCATATAGTATATATTGTATATAAGTATAAATTGATTAAGCTAAATATTGAAAATGAAATTGTGAAAATGTCTTTTTTCTTCTTCCTCTATTTTAACTGCATGGTTAAAGTCACTGACAGGCATCTGTGCTGTGAGTCTCATCAATGCGTACATGTGCAGTGATCCCCACAGAAAAGGTTAGAAGCAGGAGAATGCCATGCCAGACAGTCAACCCAGTTCTTCTGAAACAGCATCCCCACCCTAATATGTGCACTCGTCAAAGGAATTTGACACCAACCTTCTATGCTTGGGTGCAAAAAAAAACAAAAAGAAAAAAAAAACGGCGCCAACACATTTGTATTGATAGAAAAATGACAGCAGAATTAAAAGCGAATCTAAAACACCCGGGTAGTCATAGCATCTGTGCAGGCAGAGGGCATCTCTGTGGGCTTCAGTTTATCTTCTCCACGATAGGGCTGTTGTTTGTGCCATTGTTTTGCTTTTAATCCGTCCCAACAACTCCTTTTTAGTCACCCTGACTCCGACTTCCAGAGCAGAGGCTCACCTCGCAGGATGACGGGCCAATCCGAGGCAAACTGGGCCAAAGAAATCATTCTTTGGCCCAGTTTGCAGTAGAGAGCATGTGAACGAGATTACACTGTAGTGCCGGGTCACGTTACGCAGGTGTGTGTGGGTATTTGTGGTAAATAGTAAAACAGTTTGGCATGTGGGTTTCCTTTTTTTTTTTTCTTTTTTTTTCTTCTCTTCACTGAGGAAACTTTCAAACCAGTATTTTCTTCGGTCTGTTTGCCGTTAAGTACAGAAAAGTGAGTGAGTCTTCCTGGGTGGCAGGTTGTGTTTGCATGATGAAAGACATGAACTAAGATGGAGATTTAATTGCCACGGGCAGCATAGCATGCCTTCTGATTCTTGCATAACGAATACTGTCCGGCTGTATTAACCTCTTAAGCTACAATCCGCTGTGAATCAGCAGCCAGAGAAATGGATGCCCCTCGGCACCAGCGAGGGGTGATTGGGAGCAGTTTACTCCTTTGTTTTTTACAAAGCACCCTTTTGGGGAGAAAAAAAATAAATGTAATGTTAACCATCTGTTTGGTCCTGTTACCAGTGGTCCCCGACCTTTTTATCAATGTGGACCTGGGAGTTATGTTGCGAATACAATGGTGAACGTAAATCCACCGTTTACTCGTATGCAGGTTTATTTTTTCTTTAAAAACACTCCAGGGGCTTGTCTCTTAATCCCGGATGCTTGGTCTCCAAGTGGTGAAGCAGGTTTGAAGCTTTGTCGCTTCATCAGAGAGCCGCTCGCCGCATATTACGCAGACTGGCCTCGGTCTGTGGCAATAGATCCATATTTCCATAACTCCTGCTTTCATTTTCTTCGGAGTCGTCGCCTCTTCCTCCGTCTCTTCTTTGGGCCTTTTCCCCTTCGAAAATAAACTTTCCAAAAACGTCAGTTTTTTTACTTATTTTGCTAACTTGTGGGTAAAATTTTGGACACTCAAGTGACCGAGATGCAACCGAGAGAATATTTTCATTTTCAAAATAAAAGATTTTACGAATAAAAGATTATTCAGACTTGGAAATTAAATACAATGGAACCAATGAATTATTACTTTGGCGTCCGGCGGCCCGGTGCTTGTTGACCCACGGACCGGTACCGGGGGTACCCGGGGGTCTGGGACCACTGCTGTCACTATCACTCATGCGAGCCTACAGTCTTAAAATAGAGGACATACTTGTGATTTAGTGGTTCACCTCTGGCTTCCCTGGAGTAATGGAATAAAAGGGACTAAATTAGCATTTTTTAAAATTAATAATCCATTTATTGATGTATCGATCGCAACAGATGACACTTTTGTTCAGATGCTGTCTTCTGAGGTGTAATTGTTGTTCTCACTTTGATTCACTTCATATTCAACGGCCTGAGTTCAAAAAGGAAGTTTCAAGCTCCCTGAGACACCTTTGTTTTTTGTTTTTTTTCATGGTGATTCAGGGCAGTAATCCAGAAAAATAGTGTATACATGTTCAAAACCACTGAAACCATTTTTTCTAGGACAAAAAATTGACGGCCAATCTTACCAAGGAATGGATGCCAAAGCCTCTTTGTCAGACAAAATGAATGCCTGCTGCACATTAACAGCAGAATGTTTTTTATTTAGTGATAGAATTTTTTTTAAGTGCATCATCTAAAGCTTTTTGGGTCAATGACACTTCTTCAGGTCAGTTGGTGCCATTTTTATGAATAGGAAAAAAAAAACAGAAGTGTGCAGTGACCCACATCATATCCCACGTTTCATCAAAATTTAATCAGCAGGCTGACAGATGATGAATGGACTGAAAGCAGCACACTAAAGAGGATTACTAATTGGCTTTCTGCGTCTCCTGCTGGAAGTCTTCAATTCGAGGTCCTTCTGCTCTTACGCCATCAACAGGGGCCCCACTGTTCAAAGTGACAAAAAAAACATTTTAATACTACCAGGTCAAAGTTTAAACTAAATGCTAAAAGTGTTTGAAACCATCAATCAGTCAGCGGCTGTAGAACAAATAAATGATAGGATGTGTGCGTTTGGAATCAAAGGACAAGCCTTTTTTTTTTTTCTCTCTATTTGCTGTCTTAGTCACGCTGCTTTGGTCAGCCTGGACCAGCAGCCTCTTCTGGTCCCCCTCATTGTCAAGGCTAACGGTCATGACCACTGCGTGTTCAGTGAGTCAGCTTCTGGTTCCTGTCCTGCGCGCGCTCCCTTCTCAATGATGAGCTCCATATCTGGCCCGGCCTTATCTTTCCCGGCCTCATTTGTTGTTGTCAGTCCTCTCCCTTGTTGCACCTTCATGTCAACCCGAAAACTTGTCCTGTTATTTGCTTTAGTTAAATACCATTAACGGTAATGTGACAGCATCAAACGTGAGCAGTTAGCCTGTCCCTTTACCTTCTGGGATTCACCTGGGGCATTTCTTACATTCGGGTCCACATGTTTGGCTTATTTTCGTCGGCTTTCTTGAGCGTGTCTTACCGTGATCGAGTCAGTGCTGTGACACAGATAAAAGCCGTGGGGCCACTGACAATGGCGTCTAATTGCTAATATTGACGGATAGGTAATCATTTTAGTCTCTGTCTACATTTCCTTTGTCACCGCGGTAAGCCATCTTCAAAACAAAGCAGTTAAAATCTGACTCAAGTGCTGATTACCATGGCAACTGCCAAAGTTTAGAAGCATGCGCAAACCTGCAACAAATAATTGAGATGTGTGTGAACATAAAAAACCTTCTTTTCCTTCCTTTGAAGCATGTCGGTTAACTAACAGCCGTTATCTTGTGCAAGTGTTGTAATGCAGCATAATCACAACATTTAATCTTTGGTGACCTACTAAACTTTATCGGTTTGACGTCTTGGCTTAGGAATGTACTCTTTTATGTTTTGTCCTCCTTAAATAACTGCTTTTCTAACAGCAAGTATCAGCAGGAGACTGGCTCATGCGGGCTTAAAGGATTTCAACAGCGTTAAACAACAATAGATACTTTGAATTTATATTCCTGCGGGCTTAATGGGAAAATGCCAGAGGCTGTGAAATGACCTATACGAAGTGTACAGTTTCAGTATGTCTCGTGTGAGAAGGGATGGGAGACTCTGGTCTCCTTTATGGGCTGCTGATGGCCTGCTGTGTGGGTCTGGGATGGAAATGCAGCCAAAGCCCGAGAAACCTCTGAACTCTTCTGTTTCACCACTTCTGAGACGTGTTTGTCCAACCCACCGTGGGTGTCCCCTCGGTGTGTAACCTTTATAAAAGAAGCACATTGTTCGGCTTCAGACCAATCAAAATGTTGAATAATGGATCAGCCCAAATGTTATAGAGTTTTGGATAGTTCTGGATCATTGCCAGATCTTTGGTCACCGCAGCACATTGTGCAAACATGTTGTTACACTTCTCCCTCGTGTCAGAGAAAGCCAATTGTAAACAAAGTGTTTGTGGAATTTGTAGTGGTCGATAAGGAGGATTTCATGAAGCTCTAGCCTGTGTGACCAGCGCCCACTGTCCCCCTGTGGGTTTTGGGCGTTGAACCGTCAAGGGCCGGTCACTCCAGTCGGTGTAATTGGACGAGGGAATAACTTAAAGCAAAATTTGAGACAACGCAGCACTTCCGTCTTCCAACATACCACAAGAACCAAATAGAACTGTGTTTTCCAGCCATCAAAGCACTTCTTCTCATGTAAGTCAACGGACTCTTGAGATTACGTGTTCAAGTTACGAAACAAGAATAGCAGCCACAACACCCACTGGTGAGGTTGCGTGTTAGTGGTTGTGTTTGAGTGTGGAAATGTACACTCAGACACGTGATCTTTCCTGTAGGTTTCGCTATTGATCTCAGATCAGGTACTTGGGCAGCATCTGTGTTCGGCTGATAAGAACAAATGCTGCAGCGGAGAGCCAAAGCAGCACTATTAATGCGTCTCCCTGAAGTGGCTCCAGTAAGGACATGATTGATTGTGGAGAAGAAGAGGAAATGGTTGTTATTTTGGGCCAGCCTTTTGGATTTGTCCCCAAATTCATGCCGTGCGAGGTGTTTGCTTCCTTTCGCTTTCGTGTCGGAATTTTTGCTTAAGGCTGAAGCCCTGTGAACTCCAAATTCTCTTGAACTTCATCTGAAGGCGTGGCTGAACTTCAATGGAAACGGCTCATTTATTAGAATCATGTTCGCCGTGGTAGTTTGGACGGTGATGGAAAATGGGCTGAAGTTGAACTAAACATGCTGCTGCGTAGGAAAGAGGGAGTTTGGTCTGAAGAAGGACTGCTGTTTGCATTTGGTTTGAATCATTTGAATGTTAGGATACTGGTTACTATGGCAGTGGTCAGAGGATTCAAATAGGCAGGGGAATACATCTCTGAGTTACTTGTGCCAAAATGCCACTTTTTAACCTTTAACTCTCTTTATTGTCTTTTAAAAGATTGGCACTCTGGTCTATTCGCAGCTTTAATAAAAGGAGGATTTAGAACTTGCTCTCTCCAGTTTTAGAGTTCTAACCTGAAACTGCTTTGTGTGCTGAACTTGAGGGCATGTGACACCTCTGTTCCAGATATTTAAGGAAGCGAACCGCTTGGCGTTCCCCTTTGAGTTCATTCATAAAATCTGTTGGAATATCATGGCAGGATACCTCTGTCATATTTTTGGCCCGTATGGACGTACTTATATCAGCATACCACACATGACTCAGCGGGTTTCCTCATTCTTCCTTTATCTGTTGTCTGTGCGAGGACAAACCCCTCTTATCTCCGGCCACTTCTATGTGACAGGCGGGGAGCTCACCAGTGTAAACATGACCTTGCCGCTGCTTTACATACTCTCCCGTGTGGTGAAATGGAATCTGCTCACGTGTACTCGTGCCGTCATGTAAGGTCCTGCCTGCTGCCTCTGCCCCCCCCCCCACCCCGGCTCTCTCGCATGACCAGGACATTCATACACATTTAACCATTTTTCCATGTCTTTTAAGGTCGTTGTCCTGATTATTTTCTTTTCTTTTTTTTCCCCACTGGCTAAATGTGGTCGCAGAAGCTTAACCGTAATAAGCCTCTGCAAATGTAATTGCTCAATAAACTTCAGAGGGAGCTAACGCCTTTTTACAAGGTTGAATAATCCAGCCGGTGCAGGACGACACATGTAACATTGTGGTTCTGTAAGCAGCCTATGCTGAGAAGGAGGTTTGTTTGCGTACCAGAGGAAAAACTACATGTGTAGCAGGTTAGATTTCGTAAAAACCTGGCAGCTGTTGGCGATTGATTGATTCAACAGTTTTGTTTTTTGTTTGTATCTAATTAACAGGTTAAAATAGCAGTGATCCATGAAGATGATTATATTTATGGTCTTTTAATCAGCACAATTGTCTCTTCTCAAATGTAGCTTTTTTTGTTTTTATTTATATCTCTCTGGGTGTCATGCAGTTGTAGAAATGTTCACTAGTTCAGTGTTTTTGGTTTTCAATAGCTCAACACTTATAGTTTTGGTAGCTATTTGTGATCCACAAGCAAACAAAACCCTCGGTTGATTATCGGTTTTATGTTTTGGTGATAACAAAAAAAAACAAACGTTATGGTGTTACCATACATTAACAGATGATCTGCACTGGATTGAAAGTATTCGTTAATGGTTGCGGGGGGGCCACACAGTAGTGGCAAAACTGTGTTCTCCAGGCTCAGATCGAGAGGTGGTGCCCCCACCAGCGTTGTTTTAGTGGTAGATGAAAGCAGCATGGCAGAAATCTGGCTCGTCCTCCTCTGGTGGAATTCCACACAACGCAGTTCAAGCCAGCGAATGAGCCACAGATCAGGTTACCATGGTTATCGATCCAGGCGGTAGGTGCCCACCATGCAGTTTATTCCAGGATGAGTCAAAATGACCACAGTAGTCATCTTTGTACTTCCTCGCCTCCTTCGCTTCACTGCCTCCTCCCTCCATCCCGTTTCCCCTCCTGTCCTCCATCCCGTCTCTCTAAGCAAACGGACTCTCTCTGCTTCTCTTCTGCATTTCCTGCACAAGTTTATTTTGATCAAACTGCAGATTCCTCCTCTCTTACGTAACCACGCTCCATCTTCTCTTCTCTCGCTCCACTTCTCAATGTCTCCCTTGTTTTTTCCGCTGGTTGTCTGATGCTCTGTTTGTTTGTACGTTGACGGCTTCCCATTTCAACACCAGCAGACGGAAAGAAACAGAGGAGTATTTTTTGTTTTTTTAGGATTTCGTGCTACTGTAGCGTTGCTCCTCTAGTGATGGCACACGCCTCATCAGAGTCCATTCACCCAGAGGCTGTGGGGATACTTTCTGTCACACTCCACATCCCCCAGCTGATGCTCAGTGCTGTGCGAGCCAAAGGCTGGGCATCACGGAGGTCAACCATTTGCTCAGTTAGCATGTAATGAAAGTTCAATCATAAATCCAGAGTAGGTCCACACATATTTCCCTCCACAACTAATGATGCCATCCTCTTTCAGGAACCATCGTTTTATTCAACAATTTGTGAGGTTATTAAAAGTGCTGCTGAAAGGAAATAATCAACCCAAATTAAATCTTTTTCCATTTACTCACAGTCTAAATGTCTACCTTTGTTTATATACCTGGGCTAGATGATACTCATTTTGTCCTACTTGGAGCTCATTAAAAAGCAAAAAGAAGTTGGCTAACTTTTTCTTAGCTCGTTAAAGAACAGTCAAAAGGGCGGCAGCATCTTCTGTCTCTTTGGGATATTTTCTTTAAGGTCTGTCTGCATCTGTCACCTGCCAATCCATTATTTGACTAGAGATGCTCCCCTCGTTTACAGAGAAATGCACAAATACATCCACCTGTTATGTGGACTGGCTAATGTTAAAACGTTGGTGTTATTTGTGGCCATCGTTTGCATAATTTTCATGTCTGGGTCAGAAAACGAGTAGAATGAGCCACGTTGTGATTAATCAACAGTTTACTATAATCACACCTGACAGCTGTTTCATGGAGGGAACATTCACGGTTTCCTCTCCAATGATGCAAATCCAAGAGTCTTTTTTTTTTTTTTTTTTCTTTCAGGGAGAAATAAGAAGATATAGGTAGAGAGCATCTGAGTAAATGCTGGTCTACTTGTGTGCTGAATGGAGTCTGACTAAATCTCCCTACAGAGAGGGTTTAGACACACGTGCTCTGTAAACATGTTAATTGATACTTTTCATTGATCCATCTATTTCTGTCTTGAGCGGAAGAAATTACACACCGTCCTCTATCTCTTCTTTTATCCCTCTAAAGGCTCTGTTTTATGTCTGGAGCTTATGTCAGGGTGGAGGGACTGACACAGGGGTCTGTAGCCACATTTCAGTTTATCCTCTGAATTCTAATTAGCACATCTGTCTCACTAATACGTTTTGTTTGTGATTAAATGCTATCTGTCAAATTAACTTTTGTCTCGCCTCCCTCCTCCTCCTTATCCTTGACCCCCCCCCCCCCACCCCCACCCTCTGTGTTTCTCCTCTGTGCCTCCTCCCCCTTCTCTTCCTCTCTTTGCTCTCGTCCTCTCTTCTTCTGCTGCCTCCTTCTTTCCCTCCTTCTTGCTCCTTCCACACAGATGCTCCCAGCCGCCCAGCTTGACAGGAGTGATGGGATGTGTCAACTAGGTATTACACCTGTCCCAACATCTTACACAGCGAGCGGGGATAGTGGCTTTGGGGAGGGAGGGGACGCAGGGCGCCCGATATCGAGGATAGTCTTCCATACTTTACTTCCCGGAGAGGTGGCGGTAAATGTGTAGAGAAACGGAGGAAGCGGCGTTCCACGGCCAGAATCGAATTGGACTGCTAAGACCATAAAATGGTCTATTTTTGTTTCTCCTGTTTTAAACAGTAATTCTCTAGTTAAAATGCCAGTAATTGTTTTTGCTGCCTGTTATGCTTCTAAAAAAAGTGCTGAAGTTAAGTGAAACAGGCTGCTTTTATTTTATATCTGTATGGCTCATATTTCAGTATGGCTATCTTTTTTTTTGTTAGTTAGTTTTTCTGTTTATGAAAAAAAAAAAAGATAGATTTTGATTTAAGTGCAAAGTTTGTGCAAAATCTTGTTGAGGTGACTTTTTCTCACCTTAGAAATGAGAGCTTTGGGGCCTGTGACTATGAAGAGCATCAGCCTCTCAGCACCTCACTGAAAACATCAGTAAAAGGAGAAAATATAAATTGGATTTAAGATTCTGATGTAATAGCAGAACACTGTTTTTTATCTAGAAGAAAGTTGGTATGGTCATTTCTTTTCAACGTGAGGAATTGGAAAAACCTTTTGAATGGTAAGGCACCTTTCTATTGGGAGTCGAGTAATAAGAAGGAAACCCAATTCTGTGTTATCCATATATATGACTGTAATTTGTTTGGTGGCTTAGATCAATATTTATAGGTGGCTCTAAAGGAGTGTTGCAGTACTCAGCTGACCCGAGCGTTCATGCATTATGCAGTTTAATTCAGTGGGATATTCTGTATACCCGCTCTGGTTAATGAGTCCATCACGAAGATGCCGCCAGTCTTTGAAAACAAGTTGAAACTTACCTCCTTCCACTCTTCTTTAAACCAAACGGTAGCATTAAGGATTCTTTTGCCCCGAGCTTCGTGTACTGCAAACAAAGCCACTTCTTCTCACATGATGCAAAAAAAAAATCTAGATTTGAGACAAATTAGACAGTTCAGCTTTATTAAATCCGTGAAAAAACGCAAGATCTTTTTTTTTCTTTCTTACATTCAAGATGTATGGCAAACTGTGGAACTAAATGCTGACTAGTAGTATCACAAATGCTTAAATGTGTCAGAAATCATATCGGCTAATGCTCCGTCTGTCAGTTTTTAATCGTGTGGGGTTCAGGATGGACCGTTGCTGGGAAAGTATTACCTGAGACACTGACTTCTTGGCAGCAATTTTTCTTTTGTTGGTTCCAGTGCAGTAAGTTCCTGACAGTAACGTTAACAAGAGAAACTGACAGTTACTGACATGAGTTATGCAAGCGTGAGCCAAAACGGTGGCTAAGAGAGGTGGGGGTGCAGCCCCCCCATGCCTGATAGAACAAACCTGCCTCTGCTTCTTTTTTTCTTCTTTAAATCATCTCCGAACTGTGATTTCCCTTTGCTTTCTCTCTTCCAGACCCTCCTTTGTCACAACCCCTCTCATAACCCCTCTTCTCTCTAAGCCCCCCCCTCATCTTGTGTCTATCAGTCAGTGATCGGTTAGCAAAAGTGTTGAAATTCCCAAATGAGTCCAAACAATTTCTCAGAAGGCATCTGTCCATTTTATCTACAGACTCGTAACGTGATCACTATCATTAACTGTCTGGACTCACAAGCAGTGACTTGTTGTGAGGCCAAAGCACCTTTTGATTGTTGGCTTTTGTTGAACTGATGGTCCAAAAAAAAAAAAAAAACCCCAGCAAATCCTTTCAATAAAAGGTCACAATCTCTTCTTTTCTGATATCCTCGCACTAAAAAAAGAAACGCAGGTTGCAACCCTAATTAAAATACTCAATGAGCTGTTCTTGCTCTTGGAAATCTGAGTATATGAATAGCTGATGGAGAGTCTTTCATAGGGATTTATATCACCTGAAGAAACCCAAAGCACCTGCAGCGGATGAAAAGGGAACTGAAAGAGTGTGAAAATATAGCTATTTGTAAAATAATACCCTACGTATCGAATTCTTCTTCAACTCGATAAACCAGCATTGTCATAACCAAGAAACTTGACCTGGCTGCCGTTTGATGCTCTCAGGCTTTGACAGTAAAATTAGGGTATTGGAAACCTTCCCCTGGATCAAAGCATGAATTTGTTTGTCTGTGTGCTTGTTTTTCTCCAAGCAGGCGAGGCACTCCTGGATAATGTTGTCGGACTGAAGGATTCCTCTGCAGTGTTAACGTTGGAGCAAGACCCGGGAGGGACCGAGGAGGACGACATTTGCGAGGCAGAGATGGGCGTGGGGAAAAACACCACCTCCAAGTCGATGGACAGCAGCAGCGAGGGCGGCAAGTACGAGGACGAGAGCAAACACGGCGCCGACTTCTACCCAATCCCGGTAGGTAGCCCTGGTCCACGCTCCGTCACGCGTTTAAAAAAACAGCTGTCGCCCACACAAAAACAGATGTCGGGAGAAGATGAGAAAGAAATTCCTTTAAACTGGTTCGCACGCAGCCAAGTAATTACCAACCGTTCCCAACGCCCGCACTCCCCCTCCCGTTCTTTTAGTCACGTATGTCAAACCGAGCTTTTTCTGCCTTCGTAACTCTGATCGTTTGCGTGATCGAACCACACCCAGCGGCCCTCTTCGTCTCCAACCGCCGTTCCAGCCTTCTCCTTCGTTTGTCTCCTCCACATCAGGCTGCTGCTCCGTGCATCAGTAGGCAGGCCGGCGACGGGGGAAACCCAGCCGAGTCCCACGCAGACACAAGTCCAGAAAGAAAAAAAAATAAAAATTCCGAGCTTGAAGTTGAAGCTCTCACTTCACCACATTAGCTACAATCAATTGGCTACACCTGTAAGAAACCAAAAATAGATAGTGAGAGGCATTGAGGTGGAGATTTGAGGAAAGCTCTTTGTGATTTATAACCGAATTTACTCAGGCCCATCAGCTTCTCTTACCCTCTTTTGAGGGTAATTAATGGTCATTGAACAGGGTGGAACTGTAAACGTATTGATGCCACTGTGCAGATCTAATGTTTTATCTAATCTGTGAATTCTCTTAAATCGGACATTAACAATGTCTCAGACTGAAACCAACAGTTCTCCAAACTTTTCCGAGCAATGGCATCTCCCTCATGGATTGTTAACATTGACACACAGGCCTTTGAAAGCAGCTAAAGCATTGGATCCAATTTTTCAGGAGTCACAACCTGGCTTTTGTGTTACTTTCGCCACTCTGGAGAACTTAATTCACAACCAAATGATCAACACAGTGGAATACCGAAGAGTCTGAGAACTCCCAGGGGAGGCTGACCAGACCAAGACAGATCCAAACAGAGACTTGATGAATGGAAGCAGATGCAATGCCAACAATATTTTGAAAGAGTAATGTTTTGCTTAAACAAGGACCATGGAGCCCCCTGGTTTCCTTCCCTGTCTAATGCTGTGTTTTTATACGTTGGGCCGTATTTTGATCAGAAGATTAAGTTTGCGTGCAAGTAATTTTCGTTTGGGGACGAGCTGCAAAAACTTGTTTACTAATTCACTTCTGTGCATTTATGTCATAGCTCAATGGTTTGATGGATGAGTCAGACTTATGTATTCTCTTTTGTGCATGAAAAGGCTTACAAAAGCATTCATCTTAATTCGTCATTGTATTTTTTAAACACATGTTAAAGGAAACCACACCCAGGAACATAATTGTTTGCACACATCAAGTCTCACGCGTTCAAGTCCAGGATGCCTCATTTGTTTCGTTACCCATTTTGGATTTGATTCTGTTCTGTCCCACATCCTCCTAGTCTTTGATGGTCTGTCAGCATGTCTGTCTTTCCTCGTGGTTTTGTCAGCTGACGATTTATCAGAGCCCAAATCCTCTTTCTGCCCCACAGGTGCTTACACTGGTTTATTCTTTTCTTGTTTTTTTCTTCCCCAAAGCATTGTTCCACAAGCTGGGTTTCAGAACTTTCAAAAAACACAAAAGGGGAAAAAAAGCTGACATTCGTGTCTAAATTATGTGTGTTTAGGTGGTAGTGAATGGAGTTAGCAGTGCCAGTGGAGACCAGGATACTGAGAACACAGAGCTGATGGCCATCTACACCAAGGAAAATCAAGGAGCTGAAAAGGTAACTGAAGAATAGAAATATAGAAGTGAAACAAAATCCTAAGTGTTTCGTAGCTTTTTAGCTGTTTTTTAGGGGGGGTGGGGGTTTGCCACAAAGCAAAATGACTCAATATCACATGGTTGTAACATCTTACTCATGTATGTCCTGCTAAATGCTTCTTATGACACTCTTCTTTAAGTAACCACATCTTTTTCTTTTTTTTTTTTCTCTCCATGCGTTTGCTGCTTGATGAATGATTTTGCCAGGACATGTATACATCTCTCTGTGAAATTCTGTATCTTACTTATTGTTTTTCCACCTGGAAAAAAAATGTAAAATTACCAAACTAAGAAACTTTTTGATATTTTACTCGCAAACAAAGATTCCCCAACAGTGAATTCAGTTTGGTGGCTAAATGGTAGAAAAGCAGCCACCTTATTGATCTATTTATGTTGAAATGTATTTCTGCATTTGGTTTCATGTCAGAGTGCATAAAGTCACAAAGATGTTAAACATAGTTCAGATAGATATGCAGTGACTTCATTGGTAAATTTATGTCCTCATTTGGAAAATAAATAGCATTCGGATGCCACCGCATCTACTTGGTAATGTAATGAAGCTGTTGATGAAACCAATGGAAAATCCCAGGATTTTATAAAACAGTTATTACTTTCTTTTTCCATTTGAAAATACCAAACGTTTGCAGAAAGGTGCTGATGAGATGTGAAGAGGAGGCAAATGAACAATCTTCCTCTCTTGTCTTTCTTTTCCTGTTGTCACTGTGACTCTGCGCTTTTTATTCAGACTAAAATAAATGGTGCTCTTTCACAGGGTTCTTTGTTACCTTGTAATCCAACTCTCATTCATCCCTTAAATTCATCCTTCATCATACCTGCCCAGACATCCTATTCCAACATTTGTGTAACATTTAAGGACGATTATTGTCTCATTTGAATCCTTCTGTTATACATTTGCTAAGTACAACAGATAAGATGAATATGTCAGTGGCTTACATTGTCAACTTGTACATATTTTTTATGTTTCTGTGTACATAGAGCTCAATATCTGAGACGCTTGACAGCACAGACAGCATGGACGCAAGGAGGATGGACATGATCTATACCATCGAGGACACCCCACCCTGGTATCTGTGTGTGTTCTTAGGCTTACAGGTAAATCTACAAACAGATTAGCCACAAAAAAGCACCTACACATATCCAATGTAGTCTTTTGTCGGTTGTTGTTCTCCATGCAATCTCTCTTCAGTACTTTTCCTCCCACAGTTCACAGTGGGTATTTCATAGAGGGACACCAGACACAGAAACAGGGTTTTTCTCCCAGTAGTCCTCATGCTGGTGGTTCCTGAGGATAATGACCACACTGTTTGTGTCTGACAGTGGACTTTTACCATGCATCATCTTTTGTAATCCCTGAAGAGCATGACATAAGGCACCAAATCTAAAAATGATACCATCACACAGCCCTACAAACACCACAAAGTCCCTGGAACTGTTATTACCTTTACCAACAATAAATACATGAATCCATCAACATTGCGTTAGAGGAAAAAATTACAGTGTTTAACAACGACACAAAAAGTCAGAAGTGGAAAAGCAAATAAACACCCACTGGTCAGGACCACACACACACACACACACACTAAAGCCTGAACAGATCAGACAAGTTGGCACCGGGACAAAGAACATCTTTTATTTATTCGGTATTTAGCCAGATGCAGACATACCAACCGTGTGCTCTTGTCTCTCCAGCACTACTTGACGTGTTTCAGTGGAACCATCGCGGTGCCCTTCCTCCTGGTTGAGGCCATGTGCGTGGGCTTCGATCAGTGGGCCACCAGCCAGCTCATCGGGACCATCTTCTTCTGCGTGGGGATCACCACCCTGCTGCAGACCACACTGGGCTGCAGGTAAACAACCCCGTCAGACACTTTCCTTGAATGCCTTCGACTTGAGCCGTCACATTTAGCCTCGGCACAACAGTAGGTTCTTATTTCTATTTCCGGTCTGCCACTCTCTCTCATCCCTAAATGCCTCTCACAGATCAGGGCCATTCATACCAACGTGCAGTTCCTCTATCTCCATCCTTCCTCTTATTTCACATCAGAGTTTGAGCGCGCGGCGCCTTTAAGGACCGCGTTGTGTTGCATTGTCTGCTCAGCATGTCAAAAACATTTAGAGTTCCCTCTCTTTTCATGTGACTGCAGCTCTTGGTTGCAACAGAAGCGTTCCTTGATGAGCGTAGAAAGTAGGCTATTCCGAAGTAGTCCACACTTTGTAAATTTAGACATGGGGGGGGAGGAGAAACAAGGGCAGAGAAAATTCCAAAAAGCAAATTGGAGAAATTTATTGCAGAGCAGGGAACTCGGGGGCCAAAATGTTGCATCACTTCTGGGAAAGTACTCACATGCTATGATTGATCAAATCCAACAGGCATTTGTTTTTGAAAAGCTTGCGTATTTGGAAGACCTACTTTCAGACATGCCAGCATACATCATGAAAAAGTTATTTGACCCAGTTCTCACAAACTTCTTGGGGAGATTTAATCATGTTGTTCATTTGTTTTTGTTTTTTTCAGGGGAAAAAAACATTTTTTTAGACTGCCTCACATCATGCATTGCAGACACTCTCTTCTCCCTCCTGTGTATGTGTTAGTTACATTCCTGTTCGCACCCTCTGCTAAAGTGTTGAGGATTGATCTAAGTATAGATAATCCACAGCTAATCTTTTTTTTTTTTATGAATCCTCTCACATAGCCTTAAAGTTTCCTGTGTAGAATCCAATGTGAATGTTTTGTAACCAATGATTCACTGGATTCAACTCTGACTTTATCAGTCCTACTTTCCACCAATAGAATAACAACTGTCATAAGACATTGCCAGTTGCTATGGATATCATCCAATCCTTATGGGGCTATGTTTTTAATGAAAGCCAGGTCCTGCTGGCAGTTGTTGTTGTTTTTCTTTCATAAAAGGAGATCAGGTCCAAGAGGTAAACTGCCTAATTTCCCCTCCTTGTTAATAAATCAAATCTTTCCATCTTTTCATAACACATTTCATTTTTTATGACACATTATTGTTGCTGAGGTGCAGCAGGCATGCAAGCAAAGTCATGAAATTCTAACAGAGGCTTGATTTTTTTAAATCAAGTCCAAAGCCTTTAAATCAAGTCATTATGAAAAATATTGTGCAAGCACTGTCCTACTTTTTTTTTCTTCCTCCCATTCAGTGGGAAGTCCAAAAAAAGGCTTATGAAAGCGAAAAGTGCTTCTAATGTTGTCTTTAAATGTCAAAATAAGGAAAAACTCTGTTAAACAGATTTGAATCAAGAGTCCAGGATGCCTTGAAGATTATTGTGAATGCTTATGGATTTAATTTTTCTTTAAACCAAGTTCCAAAAAGGATGAAACTATGCTTTGAATGTAACAAAAACAGAATACTGTGACTTTTAGATTCTCACTCCAATGCTGCATTTCCTGTAGAATTGAAGACAAACTTATGTTGCAAATAAGACATTTTACTATTGAGTTAACATAATTTGAATGCTATTACAACAAGTTTTTTTATTTTATTTATTTATTTATTTTTTAAGGGTCTGGGCAAAAAAAACCTGAAATTCAAAGTGTTGAGTAAGAATGTTCCTCAATGTGAGAATGGGAAAGACTGAATATTTAATATTTTACAGAGCATGATATGAGAATGGGGACATGGTTCTGTGAGCATGAGACAAGGCTGAAAATCAGGAATCGTGTTCACTGTCCTGGGCCTCGCTACATGAGCTCAGGAGCACTTCCAGATGTTTGTTTGATATCAATACACCATCCTCCTGCAGTTTCAGGGTTGTGAGGGGTATCTTTTTCTTTAAAAAGCCAGTCAAATTAAATAAGATCAGTCAGCATTTGTCTGAGAGAATACTTGCCTCCACGTGCAACTTGATCTTTTTTCTTTTTCTTTTTCGCCTTGTCATTGTTACCCCACAGATCACGTGTAGTCTTTTTGTTCAGCAGCTGTTTTGTTTTTTTTAAACTTGCGTGAGGAACATGTAACAGCTCGAGCTGTAAGTGAAAATGGCGTCCTCTGTTGGACGTTTGCGCCGTACAATACGGAGGTTCATTTGCCCCTCGTTGAAATATGCAGGCTATTTAAATGAACTACCTAAAGCTGACGGGTTTAAGTCATTATCTGTCTCAGAATTTCAGAAGTATGTCATCAACTTCTTCTATGGCCAATGTGTTTGGATTTGTAGGCGTTGTTGTGTTATATCACCTAGTCATTACTAAACCTGACTAAAACTTGTTTTCCAATTTGAGCTATGTTGTTGTGCTATTTTTTCCACATGGATAAATTGAATTTTAAAAAGTGCATCAGAAAAAGACAGTGTTGGAAAGAGTTGGCTCTCAAATTGAGAAGTTATATAAGCTGTTATCTGTCTCTCCGTCTAACCTAGTTCTTACTTGTTCTCCGACACAAAGACTCACAAGAGTCTGGTCTTGGCTTCAACGTGAGTGGCATTCCTGTCACACCAGCAGCCCACTCTCAGAGACGAGGCTGAGCTGAGGTGACACAGTGCCTATCTGTCCATCTCTGTGTGGATTACTGTCTCCAGAGAAATGCCATTGAATGGAAACAACTGAGAGGGTGGAAAGATTTTGGGAGGGGAGGTGGTGAAGCCAGATGATGGCATGATATAAAGCCATGAAATATACTGCTTTTGTAGTTTTTTTTGTTCACACAGAACACAGGTATTTTTTTATGCTTTTTCCTTCCAAAAAGTTTCATATTAAATGTTCTTTTCAAGTGCCAGCGCGGGGCTTTTATGGGCAGATCTGACATGTCCGGTTTTATCCTGGCTGTCTAATAGACCAGATGTCACCTGTTCCCAGATGAATTGAGCCAATAGTGTGTGTAAATATGTTCAGTTTGACATCTATTTGCATCCACTTACATTATCATTGTCACGTTTGCATAGCGCATCATATTTACCGTGCCATCGTTGGCTTTACTCTGAGGCGTCATCAGGGTGGTGGATGTGTAAAAGTAAGGGCTACTGAACCATATGCTCAGCAGTTGGAGGTGGGGGCATGCCTTGTGGTTTGATTCGTCATGGTGCCAAGTACGGCCGTTCTAGGTGGAGCGCACGTGTGCGGGACATCCGCATGCCCTGCCTGTGTGTGCAGGTGCTGGCTGCACACGTGATCTGCACCAGACACCGAGATGTTGAGTAATGCATAGTTTCCTTTTGGCATATTTTTTTCCTTCTTCCACTCGCCTTTGTCGGGTGTTGGTTTAATTCTCAGTATCAAAGTAAAGAGAAGCACCAGCTCAGTGGATGCTACCACTCTTATAGTTTTTACACTAAAATCTGTCTCTTCCACATTGTGTGGATCAAAATGACAGAAGGGGATTCAATGTTGAACAAGCTATGGTCCTGACCAGAAGTTTGGAGTTTTAATATACAACATGTGCTGAAAGAAAAAGTTCTGGCTCCAAAAGACGAGCAGGGCGGCAGGCTGGTGTTGGGGTTTAATTAATCTCAACACCAGATCAAGTGGCCACAAGTGAATCTGACACGTGTCCTCTGGTGGCTCCTCAGTTTGTTTGTTGTTTATTTTGCTTTTTGTTTCAGCCCATTGAGCATTGCTTTTCAAACTTTTGACATCAACTACTGCATGGTTTAGTGTTTTTGCCCACAGTCTGTTCTGAATGAGCACTATCCCCGTGAGAGTGTCTCTGTCTCATAAAGATGGATCTGCAGGATATTGTAGGGATGATGGTGGTGCTTTCCAGAAGATGGTCAGTTGCACATGATGTTATGAATTATAAATCCCCAAATCCTGCAGATTCCAGTGGGATTCTCTTCAGTTAATGACATTAAAACGGGAATATCAAGACGGTACAAACTGTAATCGGCAAAGACGGGGTTCAGCCTTTTTGCACAGAGGTGCATTGAGCGTCTCGGTTTGTGAAAGTCTTGTCTGAGCTGATTTCTTATGTTTTAGGCTGCCTTTGTTCCAGGCCAGTGCGTTTGCCTTCCTCGCACCAGCCAGAGCCATCCTGTCCCTGGACAAATGGAAGTGCAACAGCACAGGTACCGCTCCCCTTCCTGACACGATCAGTTCATTCACTCTCAAATCAGACTGTTAGATGGCTCCAAATAAGGTTAAATAGTTCACACATTTTTCTTTTTTTTTTGTTCCTTCCTGACTTTGTTCCTCATCTTTCTCAATGAGCAGCACTTCCAGTACTGAACGGGACTGAGCTCCTCAATACAGAGCACATCTGGCACCCCAGAATACGAGAGGTAAGACAAAAAGGCTCACGTGGAGGGGTTACAAAAGAGTATAATTCTGTTAAAGACTGGTAGGGTTTGGCTGACGTATAAATAAATGAGTCATTATATGACAAATTATTCAGAGGAACAAGGTCTGTTTGTGCAGACTGAGAAATCTGCTTTGTATGTCTGCAGGGTTTGACTGTATATCACAGATGCTGTTAATTTGCGTTAACCTTTTCAGTTTGCGTAAGCCAGTTGAGTAATTGTCTTTTACGTGACGCGAATAAGACACAACTCAATCAGACGGAATCAAATTTGTAAAATGGAGGAGAGCGCATGTGATGAAAGTGGACAGAGGAGAAGACGAAGCCGGTCATCTTTCAGAACACTAATCTTGTTACTGCCTCTGATCCAGCCATGGCACCCACAGCTCACGCTGCTTTCCGATCCATAAATACGATTTCACATACTGTTACGCCCGGAGAAAAAGAAAAGCCTGGTTTCAGTGTAATAGAGGTTTATTTGCTACGGCAGGTACGGCTGATGTTTAGTGTGACATATCTTTACCCCAGTTATCTCACTCCGAGGAACTTTATTATTTTTTCATTTATTTTTAAAGGTAGTCCATGTTGCTAAAACCTCAAACTTCTGATGAATATATTTTCTATTGTGCCATTATAGACATTTTTCGCGCTTCATATTGTAAGTAGGGCGACATAGTGGGCAGATCCAGTGCAGTCATATGGTGACGGACAGAGTACCGTGTTTCCTTATACATAACAAGTTTTTGTTCCTGAAAGGAAATATTGTTCTTTTTTGTTTTAGCACCATATTTTTGAGGAAGCACTTTGTTTCATCGTCATTACTTAAGAAAAACATAGTTGTCCTTTATCTGCTGTAACTAAAATAACTTCAGAGGGGATGTGGTTTGACTGCGTGCATCTATCATTCGCCAGAATGTTACTGAGCAAACTTTGTTTGACTTCTCTACACTATGTGTCCTTTTAAAACGTTCTCATTCTGTACTTTTTTGGATTAGTTTAAAGAGAATATGGTGTGAACTGTGTTTAAGTGGAACATTTCATGTTTCCATCATCTTCCTGAGTTTCACCCTTTCTTTTTTTTTCCTTTTTTCTTTCTTCTATCAGATCCAAGGGGCTATAATTGTGTCATCCCTCATTGAAGTATGCATCGGAGCTCTTGGTCTGCCCGGGATGCTGCTGAAGTACATTGGACCTCTGACCATCACCCCTACTGTGGCCCTCATCGGGCTGTCTGGTTTTCAGGCTGCCGGGGAGAGGGCTGGAAAGCACTGGGGCATCGCAATGCTGTGAGTGAAGACTCTTGTGACAAACTCTGATTTGTCAATAATGAGCTCTGACGGGGGACAGTTCATCTGCTCTGTTTGAATGCTGAAGGGCCGCGGGACCCCAGTGAATTTAGCTTTGTTGGTACTAAAAAGAACAAGGGTTATATGGGTCATGCTTTTATCCGTTTGATACTGTTTTGGCCTACCATGAAAACCATCTCTGTTGGAAACAGCCGGAATTCCAACAAGATCTAAAAAGCTGTAGAAATACAGTCGGAAATGTTCATTTTTAGGGGCTGAACAAAGTCAGATAGTCAAATGTTAACTGGATTATACTGACTGTATGGTGAAAATAAGCTTTCCGGGCCACCTCTGCTGTCCATCTCTGAAAATATAAGAAAGAGAACATGTTGGATCACGTAGACTGCAGTGATATTCATGTGGTATGACATCAGCTCCTGGTGAGTCATTGCCAATTTATAAAAGGCCACTCCTCAGGCCTCACAGGAACAGAGGATACCTGCCAGTAATTGTCGCTGATTTCTCGGGCACTTAGGATAATTGATTACCTCTTAAGCCTTCGGAGTCATAGTCGCATACGGAAAGGACTAAATGGAACATGCCGGTGCCGGATAAGTTGTCTCACAGCAGTGATTTTATAGTATAGGAAATAATGAAATACTGTTATCTGTGATCCGCCCCGCTGAGGAAACTCGTTTGTGCCTGCAGGACCATCTTCTTGGTGCTGCTTTTTTCGCAGTATGCTCGCAACGTTCATTTCCCCCTGCCAGTCTACAAGGCCAAGAAAGGCTGGACCTCCTATAGGCTGCAGGTCTTCAAAATGTTTCCTGTAAGTATCGGCTTTTTGAGCCTTTTGCTCAAACTGAATCTGGACTAATCTTTTTTCTTTTCTTTTTTTTTACTTCTTCTCTCATATTTTCGGGCCACGCCATCCTTCCTCTTTCTTATATAGAGTTTACTTTTAGTTTCTTTCCAGTTAGGTGCACAGTCAACTGCAAATTTCGTTCTCGCTAAGAAACGTCCTAGTTGTGTAAATGTCCTTATTCTGCCCCCTGCTGGTCAAATAATTAAAAACAAACACCATGGTTACCTGGACCAGTGAGAGTAATGTCGAACGCATGAAGAAGCCTGACTGCTCTTTTCTTTGTATTGAAAATGTTAAAACATCACCTTGGAAACTGACAACAAACTGAATTCTTGTCTTTCTTTCTATTAAGCTCATTAACTTCTCTAAGGTTCCATTAAAATGTCTTGCATAACAATTTAGTGATGCAGACTTTAACGGCTGAATCTTGTGTAAGTTCTGATAACCAGCTAACATTGATCCATGCATTTTCACTGGACCTCTCACTCATTTGATTTGTTTGTTGTGTTTTTTTTGTCTTTTTCACAGCATATGATATGTTAACTAAGCTGAGGTGAACGTATTCAGGATTCACACTTAATAAATGTGATTTCTCTTTCTTTCACACAGATCATAATGGCCATCCTGGTGTCATGGCTGTTGTGTTTCATTTTCACTGTGACGGATGTTTTCCCACCAGAGAAGAACAAGTACGGTTTCTACGCCCGCACAGATGCACGTCAAGGAATCCTCGCAGCTGCACCGTGGTTTAAAATCCCATATCCTTGTAAGTGTGATAAGAGAGTGGCTCTGGCCCACCCCAGTGGTACTACCACAGAGCATTTCTTAACTACAACTTTGATACACTGTAATTTTTACCTTTCTTTTACCACTCCTGAATACTTTGCGTCAAGCTGTTGTAATGAATTCATGTTTTCTTTCGAATATATTAGTACTTCTGGAACTTTTGGGCCAAACAGTGAATGCTTTCCAAAGTGCATGGCCTCATAAGCTGCAGGAGCCCGTCACGCGGAAAACCTTTGTCTTTTTTTACCTTAGTGTCATGGATGTGTGAAAACAGATTTTAAAAATCAGACAAAGCATCAAATCACTTTGGGTTTTTGTCGCTGCCTGTTAGACAGGAAGTTTGACAAAAGGTGTTTCTCAGCTGTAACCCACTGTGTTCTCTCCTTCACAGTCCAATGGGGCACTCCAACTGTAACGGCCGCGGGTGTCATCGGGATGATGAGCGCTGTAGTGGCCAGCATCATCGAGTCCATCGGAGACTACTACGCCTGCGCTCGCCTGTCTTGTGCTCCTCCGCCTCCCATCCACGCCATTAACCGGTACCCCTCCTTCATCCGCCCCCTTATTAAATGACTTGAGCTGCCCATCAAATCATGAGTAATCAACTTGAATTATTTCCGTCTTTTTTTTATAGGGGAATATTTGTTGAGGGTATTTCCTGTGTCCTGGATGGTCTTTTTGGGACAGGAAACGGCTCCACCTCCTCCAGTCCAAACATAGGCGTCCTGGGAATTACAAAGGTGACGCACAGCAGCCTGTAGTCATTATAGTAGTAGATAATAAGATGTGCGTTTTCTAAACGCCACCGTTTCGAACCAGTTTGAAAATTTTCTTCTCTCCCCTGATTGGTCCTCCAGGTGGGCAGCAGACGCGTGATTCAGTACGGCGCAGCTATGATGCTGCTGCTTGGTCTTATTGGTAAATTCAGTGCCCTGTTCGCCTCCCTGCCCGACCCTGTCCTGGGAGCCCTGTTCTGCACCTTGTTTGGAATGATTACAGCTGTGGGACTGTCGAACCTGCAGTTTGTCGACCTCAACTCCTCCAGAAACCTCTTCGTATTGGGCTTCTCCATCTTCTTCGGTCTGATGCTGCCCAGCTACCTCAAACAGAACCCGTTAGTCACTGGTGAGCTCTGGGGAGGTTTCTTATGAATAAAAAAAAGTACTGAAAAACATTTTTTAAAGGTTTTCAAATTACCCTGGAGGGAAAAAATTTTTTTAAACTAATTTAAATGGGTTTAGTTGCATTATCTGGGTGTATTAGTAGAAACAATAGATGGTATCCGTCATCCCCTGTAAGATTAACGGAACATTTTTTAAAATTTTAAACCACTCCGATTAGATGGAGTTACAACATCTTCCCGGTGTATAAATGAACCCTGGGTAGACGCAGTGGAAAATGTAAAATTATTTAGAATGGAAACTGATATTAAGTCAGTTTATGAATTATTTCACTATAAATACTGGCACAAAAGTAACCTCTCTTTTTTTTCGTCCAGGCATAGTTGAAGTGGACCAGGTGCTGAACGTGCTTCTCACCACTGCCATGTTTGTTGGAGGTTCTGCTGCCTTTATTTTGGACAATACTATCCCGGGTAAGGTCTTAGAGGTTGTCCTATTCCTTTTTGATTTATAACACAGCTCATTTGCGATGTACTGGGGGATATTTTTGTCAACATGATGATAGTTCCAGTTAGGCAATACTTAACTCAAAGAAAGAAAATCGGACCGATCTGGCTGTGACTACTAAACAAGTACAGGGTTACATGTAAAGACTAACAAAGTCGTTGGTATGATCGATAAGAACTCTGGAGGGGAGCTGCAAGACGTGGCATGGAGAAGGAGGAGTGTCTTTACACCTTCACTTGGGATATTCTATTTATTTGTTTTTAATAGGAACATGGATTGTAGCAGCTTAAGAAGACTCAGAGATCATTCTTGATTTTATTGTTAAACTGTGGATTTTGAGAAACTCACAAGAGATCTCTCCTCCAAAATCCAGGTACCCCCGAAGAACGAGGCATCAGAAAGCTGAAACGCGGTTCTGGCCTCAGTGCAGCCGAGATGGAAGGGATGAGATCTTATGATCTGCCGTTTGGAATGGACTTCATCCGCAGACACTCAGTCTTCAAGTACATCCCCATCAGCCCAGCGTTCACGGGCTACCACTGGGGGAGGCTAAGGGAAGCCACCAGGAGCAGGATGGGACGTGGGGATGTGGTGAAGGGAGGCGCGGAGGGGGCCCCCTCACCAGGGGAGAGCCGGGTATAGCCACCGTGCTGGCCAGATCTCAGACATGGCTGATTGTGGGGGAGCAAGGGATGGTACACTAAGATGAAACGATGGAAGAATGAGGCACAGAGGCAGCGCGGGATTGTGTGGAAGAAAATGTGTTGCACCAACTCCCCTGTCAGTATGTTTTCCTAAGCTTGTGTCTGTCTTTTTCCCACTTTCCACTATGCTATTTTTCAGCATGCTCTAGCAAGTTACAGCATGCGATAAAAGATGTCACCACATGGAGGCTAGTCGGTGTGCGTGCTTGTGCGCTCGGTATGCAGCAGAGAAAACGGGTCCGTGCTTTAATCTACGTCCAAAAGGAGACGGGTGGACATCAGACAATTGGAGTTGAATGTTTGAGGATTCGGTGTCTCCAAATCGTGCCGACCAGTGCTCCCCGAGTCATTATGTAAAACACATTCTACTAAAAGCACAGTAGAGTGGATTATGTCAATTGAGGACCGTGTTCTAAATCATTTGCCTCTAAACTTATGCAACAACATAAGAGATACACGCACACACACCAACAGCCTCAGTAGAGCTAGTTTGAGCGCTTCAGTGCACAACGCGGGGTCACGCAGACTGATGGTAGTAGTTTGTCAGGTGCCCTTAGCCACGCAGAGTGATTGTGTGATTTATTTTTGCACTATCTGCCTCCTGAGTTCAAAACTAGAATGTCACTTCCGAGCCTCCGACCCCACTTTATTTCAGTCCTCCCATAAAGCAGTACATCGCATCGCTCACCTGGCACTAAACATCTTCGTTTTACATGTAAAGAGTGCTAATATTCACGAGGCCTCCCACATGTCTGGGCAAAAAGATCACTGACACACCACGTTACGTCTGCCTACCGGGTCAGTATTATGAGTTACTGAGAAAAGTCGACCTAACATGAACACGCCTGGCTCACTTAGCAGATAAAGGGTATTTAGCTTGTTTTTTCCGTTCCCCTGGAACTAGCATTTTGATTTAATCACCTTTCATTTGCATTTAAAGTTGGTCTCTTGTATAATGAAACAAGCTTTTAAACTGTCATGGCAGCAGCTGTGCTTTTTTTTTTTTTTTATAGCTACTCTTACGCACACAGTCATAGATGTGGCTTAGTCCAGGACACTGTGTACACAAGGCTTGAAATGGATAAATGATGACAGGAAAAGTAAATGCTTTTCGTACAGTGACTGGAAAGATTTTTCATCTTCTGCTTGGATCCCCTCTCTTGATTTTAAGGGGTCACTTTGAATTATTTTTAGCAGTAATTTGCTGATGTCTAAGTTTACTAAGTGTTACTAGTAATGTGTTCAACTTAACATTTTTCAAAAACTAGGATGGCTGCTTTGATTTCAGTTTATTTTTAGTCTTTACCTTATTTCTTTACATCCACCCATGAGAGTCTTTTGCTGTTCAAATGTTGTGGATTACTTTTCCCTCACTATTCATCCCACAGCAGCTGTTTCGCTTCAGATATTTGTTAGTGCTGGAGTCTGGTGTGTCTCAGACTGTAGCAGAACTTCTTTAAAGCTTCACCTTATAAACCAAGGTGGGACCCTAAGGAGCCTCTGCTTATTTAGCAAGGGCAAATCATTTATAGAAGATACCTTTTTGAAGAGGCTATACTACAACTGAACAGAGATTTTACTGAACCAAAATGCTCGTGTTCTTTATTTGTATGGCTCCAAATGTTCTGTTTGTATACCAAAATTTTTAATCATTTGGAGCATGTTGCTACTGCAAAATGCACCTTTCTCATGTTAAAGCTATTTATTTATTGGAAAGAGTTACCCCTCCAGAGGGTCGTGCTCTATGTGGTGTAGTGTTAAAGTAGTGGTTTACACGTTGACCCCTTGTACAGACCAACGTCCTGATGACTGACCGCGTCTCCTCTCCCTCAGTTACAGTCAGAGCTTTAAGAGACCGAGAGGAGATCACCGAAAGATTTGAGTTGGCTTCAGTTTCATTCCATTCATGGTATGTTGTACTTAAAAGCAAGATGAAAACACTTTGATCTGCCAGGATGGTTCACAATTCATTCGGGCCTTTTGCTGCAAGTACTGTTCAAACATGAAATGGTGCCAAAAGGTTTAGAGTCCGAATGATTAATTCTCAGTATCCTGAAGGCCTAAAATGTCACTCGAGTGCTAATCCACCAACTGCTTTGTTAGAATGACTTTTTGGCTATTTAGTCATTAATTGTAATTTCATTTGAGTTCACCACTCAAATATATGGAATTATCATTGTTTATCAATTGCAGCAAACATAAACTCAAGCGCTAAAGCCACGAAAGAAGTTAAGCCAGATGGACTTTAAATTTGGCACCTGATCCAAACGGTGTCTGCATCCAGAACTAAATACAAAAGAAGCTTTGTCGATTCAATCGGTGTGATGGCAACACAACCGGTGATGTTTCTGACATTCTTGCTCAAACTGTAGTGTTACTCCAGGAGCTTACAGCAGTGAAGTGGAAGTCTGAGGCCCCGTCACCCGCTTCTCCTCTCTGAGAGATGGGGGAGGGTTGGGCGTTTTTAGCAGCTCTTCCGTGCACAGCATACACACGCAAACATTTCTTTTTTTTTCTTTTTTTTTCTTCGGTCATGCAGCCTTTCGTCAGTCAAATTTTCTCTCATCTCCCTTCATACTCTGATCCCCCCCCCCCCCCCCCGGTCCCGCAGTGAAAATATATTGACATCCTGTCATGTTTGGTGTACCTGGGAATTCTTACTGTTCATGTTTCTGGATGCAGGAGGAGACACCTGCTGGTCACCTTACTAAGAGCCTGTTGTTGGCAGCTCAGTGAGCCCTGCCATACATTTGACATCACGTCGAGAAAACGTTGGGTTTTCTGTGTGCCTAAAAGCAACTCTGTTAGATTTTAACTCTTGTCCTCCTGGCTTTTAATCATACTTTTTCTTATCCTAATTTATACATGTGCATTTCTCACACTGTTGTTATTGAAGTTGAGTACAGAAAAGCATTTAAAACACATGGCAGATAAAGCAACGGATGGCTCTTAAGAAGGTGGCCATAAGGTTTGTAACACAAAGACATTGATCCCTTTCAGTTTTTTTGAAGGGGACACTACCTAAAGATTATACTTCTGTGTAAGATGTTTTATCTTTTTCAATGTTTTTTTTTATACATCATTTTTATGTTTTGCAAGCAGATATTTGTAAAAAAAAAAAAAAAAAAATCATAACTTTAAATCTTAAATCATGCTGGAAAGCGCACCATCTTGTTGTACTTTTTATTTAAAAAGTAAATACACTTTGACCCTATTCTGAAACTGTGGTTCGGTGGAATCCTTTTGTTTGTTAGGACCTTTTCATATTGTATTTTTTTACTCTAACATTGCTTTCTGTCCATGTTACACATTACCAGTTCAAATCAAAGAACAAGCTAAGAAACTTTAAAATGGATGTTAAAACCAACAAAAAAAAAGTATATTTAATGTTTGCTAAACATTCTGGAAGATAAATTGTGTAAACTAATTGTAGCATCAAAATGTTTTATTCTTTGTTCTTAAAACTATTTAATAAGATGTTATAGAAGGATTTCAGTCTTTTGTCTTTTGTGTCATTAGTCCAAGTTTTTTTTCCCCTCCCCACAAGCAAATCCATAGGTGGAATTTACTGAATGAAGACAATGAAAAATGACCAGCAGGGGGGAACCCTTTTCATTCATGGCTGAAGTTCATCAAGGGAATTTTTTGGTTTCTTTCTTTCCTCCCTTTTGCAACAGGATGGTCACCATTTCCTTAAAAAGTGCTCTCAAGGAAAGAAGATTTTAAATCAAACTCTTCAGAAGAAGGCAGCCCTAAGTGCTTTACATAATAAAATCATAATAAATCCCTCCCCCCCTTTAAAACACAGACTCTACTCTCTATCTCTTTAATGGAAGCATTATCATGAACAAAAAAAATCTGCACAAATACATAAATGTGAACATCTGTTATGATGCTGAGGTAACAAAACTATATCCTGATCTTATCAATTCACATCGTTCACCCAAAATGCCAGACCTCAAGCTTCAAAACAATTAAAAAATAAGAGAGCACTGCTACCGTCTTCAAAGCCATGTTTTATAGCTTGAAATTGAATCTAGTTCAAACCATGCAGCTTTTTTGGATTTGACCTATTTGCTCTGAAGTTTATCTGTCAGTAAAGATTTGTGATGGGCTTCATGCAGCTGTGAAAATGAGACCACAACCTCTGGAATCAGATCCATTATTTTCCTCATTCTTGGTTGTGTACCTGCATCTAATTACCTACACGAATTACCTTTATTTTTTCTTAGAATTTAAAAACAAGTCAGTTCCTCAAAGGGCATTACATCACCATGAGCATCTCCCAAAGCAGTGGAGTACAACTGACTCCATTAAAGTTTTATGAAGATGAATAGCAAGAGTGTAGCATCCATGTGGCACATTTCTGATTAAAGTTAACACTTGAAAGAAAACGTGCACGTTTAAGTGTCACGGGGTTTAAATAATGACTGATTGCAGCCGAGGTGATTCATTTCCCTTTATTTACAGATAAAAAAATCCTGATGACTAATGGTAAACTGTTCTTTAAGATTTGAATATGAGGGCTAACTGTGAGGACATTGTACTTTTTTACTTTCATCTTTAATAAATGTGGGTGTTCATCAAACGGGGATGATTAGTCCTGCTGAGTGCGCGTGCTCGGCTGTGCTATTGTTGTCGTGTTTTCATTCATCTCCGCGCGCAGCGCTAACAAAGGCACGTCAGTCTCGCTCTCTGATTGGCTGCTCTCCCAGGCCCCCGCCACGCTCCGGAGTCGCGAGCTCCGCCACAACAGATGGACTCCTCGCGCTCTCCTCCTCCTCCTCCTCCTCTTCCTCCTCTTCTGTCCTCCACTTCTACCAGCCGCCGGATGCAACGCCGCTCGCGCCCCGCTGGTCGTTTCTAACGGTAGGAGAACGGGCGTCTTCGGGCCGGTAACCGGTAACCGACGGCTGAGTCCCGACGTGAAGAAGAGGAGGGAAGGCGGAGGAGAGAAACCGAGGAAGAAACGCGGAAGGTAAGACGGGGGAGTACCCCCGAAAGTAGTCGGGAATCAAACACTGGGCTCGGTGTAGCTAAGTCAGCGCCTCACGGTGGTTTCTGAGGGGGAGATGTAGCGATACGCTCTTAGTGTACTTTGAATATTTGTTTTTTTAAAAGGAAAGCTTCATTTTTTTTAACAACGTTGAATACAAAGCTGTCACAATTATTTATCTAGTACGAGTCGTCATGAAACATATAGACCAGAAAAGCCGTAAATATGAGTCAATTTAGGCTGCGTTTAACTCGCAGACGTTTTAACAGGCATAACCCCTCAGCTCTTTGTGGTGACTACATAAATCCGGTGCAGAAAACGGTATAAACTGCTTTTTATCACACGTGGTTCCCACCAGGGAGCCCACAGAGCTATGCGTTAGTAAAACAGGTTACATAACAAGTAATAGATGATTAAGATTCCTCCCAGCACTCAGATGGCCAGCTCCGGGAGGCTGGCTGGAAGCTGATGCACATTATACACATTTAATACACTTCATGTTAAACTCCACTTGAATTAAGACGTTTCAGTTATAAAAAAATTCCAATGTGTAAACTTGATGAGTCTTTTTTGGGGGTGATCTATTGTTAAATCAGCCCTGCCTGACACTTTAAAAACAGAGTATGGTTCATATAGTGGTGCTTTTCTTTAAGCTGATTTTAAATAAGTTGATCTGATACCTCCTCACACCGGAATTTAGTCATTTCAGATCAGTTTTGTCCGGCCAGAAGCACTTTTTGCTTGACATTTTAAGATTTCTTTTGAGTTCTAACATTAAAATGAGTGATGGTTTCAGCGTCATGTTGAGCTATGTCGCTGCATCAGGACAATCTGCATTTGTATTCAAGTGGAGCGTCGGGCATCTTTTTGACAACCCAAGTAAGGAACAGAAGAGACAAACACTATTTTTGGCTCAGCAGTGTGAGCCAGTTTCTTTAGCCGGGTTGTTTTTGGTGTTGCTATGACAATAGTGACAATAGTGAGGCAGAGCAATAGTAATGTGGCGGCTTAAAGGCAGGGAGGTGGTGTTGGTGGGCTTTTGAGAGGACAGGCGGAGGTTTAGCCTGCTGTGTCAGCCAAAGGCGTCAACAGAGAAGGTCCAGAGGCAAGAGGGCAGAAAACAAGGGGGCAAGTGTATCAATAAGAGAGAGAGCAGGGGGAGAGAAGTCCAGGAAGTTGTGGTCATGAAGTGATCTGGAGGCTCCCTTCATAAGGGAGCACAAAGGAGGTGGAAATACAAGAGGGAAGTTAAATGGCTAAAACAGACCTCGCTGAGGGCAGAATTTTGCAATCACAAAAAACTGGACGGACACTCAAAAACAGAGTTAGTGATGTCCAAAGCAACTGAGCAGTAGAAGGCGGATGAGACGTAAGAGGGGGAGATAGAGGCTGGTTATTGGCTGACGTCGTAATGGGGCACAGGGGAATTCAAGCAGTCAATGAGTTCTACATTTGGACTGTTTTCCAGCAGAGACAAGAATGCTCTGATTTGAAACATGGCTGGGTCAGCTGTGGGTCAGTCTGGCTGCATTTATATGTTGATGTTGGCTGTGCTGCTACAGGATCTACACAGACTAATGCGGTTACAGAGCAATAGCCATCAGTAATTCAGGGTTTTCACCAAACTTAAACAATGACTTTTTATTTTTTTGGTTGTTGTGTTACTTTAAAGTTTTAACCTTGACAAATTGAAATGTGTCCTTGCTTGGAATCATGTTGTGGGCGGCAGTTTGGGTTTCTGTTTAGTAAAAGCAGTGATTGTGTGGTGGTCATTTTTCATTTCTTGTTGTAGTAGATGTTGACCAAAATGGATTGATGTTAAAATCAATATAAACTGGTATTACCAGCCCTCAAATAACATCATCAGTTATCCACTGAAAAATTTAAAAAGTCAGCAGATGGGAGTGAATTCCTAGCCAATGGAAAACATTTTATCTGTTTTGTGCAGCATTAAAGTTAAGATGCCTTATTCCACCAGTACCTGGAGCCTGTGGTCACACCTGGATGGGTCAGTTTTCCCGTCGGGTGACACATTGCTTGAGCCAAAGTTCATTCTGCTCTTGTGGACTTGAAAATTATTCCAGCATTGTTTTGGCTTTTTGCTCCAACAGCTGGCTTCGTGTCCGTCTCAGACCACTGACCTCGCCTGCTCATTAGCCTCCGGGCATAGCTGCCTTTGACCACTACTAGGATATTAAAGGCTAATGACTTTTATTGTCTTCGTCAATAGTGAGCTTTAGGCTGCGTGACAGGCATAATATAGGTGATGAAATATTGATGGTCTCGACGTGAGACTTGGCCGATTAGAGTTTAATATTTAATCTGTCCACATTTATCTCAGAGATTGGCACCCTGGGGTTGTTTAAAGCTGCTTGGTACACTGATGTGCTGAGGTATGTGTTTGATAACAGGAAAAGACAGTTGGAAGACATTTCTATTTATCCCCTATGTGTAAAATACTGATGACTCATCCGTGCTGCTTGAATTGAGGAAGTTTTGAGCTGTATAAGGGGTAGTGTCAGTTTCCTGTGTCACTGACTGAGCAAAGGAGGAAGCGGTTTGACGGAAGGGGAGCACTTCCTTTAAACACCCCCGCTCTCCTCCGTTGGCTCGCTGTCACAATCAGAAGAAAAGACCCTCGTGGGCTGTTTGAAACCGAGGACAGTGCGTAGCCAGCCCAACTAACGTTTCACTCTCTCCACAGAGCTCCATCTCTGGGGATTTAACAGCAATCTAGTCTTCACTACGGTAAGATCTCCTCAGCTCTTATAACGCATATTCATGCTATCAGTCACGATGACCCAGCCACCAATCATTGTGTGCTTTTCACTTCCTGACAAGGAAAGTTAAATTGTCTATCTACTATGCTCAGCTCAGAGAAATGGCCTTCGGATATAATTTTTTGGTCAGATTCTTTCTGTAGGGGCATGTAAATCAGGGGTATATAATGCGTTTTGTCAGTAGAGCAGTCTGAGATAAATGTTCAAGCAGCTGAAATCATTTGAAGCAGCAGGTGGCCCATGTGTCCTGCACCTGTTCAGCTCCTTCCGGAGGATTCGGTCCTGCCAGATTCACACAGTCGCACACTGAATCAACAAAGCAGGAAGGAAAACTCTACACATCGGTGGCAGAGTGCCTTTTGAAACAGCTGCATGAGCGAAGGCGCTGGATGTGTATTTGTAAAAGAGAGAGACAATTGAATTAAAGTGGTGACAGGACAGAAAACACTGCAATGCAAAGACAGAAAAATGGTCAGAGCAGTTGCTCCGTGGCACGCTGAATGTTTTGATTGTGTCAAGGGACTCTGGTGGTTTAAGCAGAATCTGGGGGAAATGTTTGACAGGAAAGAAGATAAGATCTAGTGTTATTGTTTACGGTCTGGAGCTTTACCTCCTCCTCTTCCTTCAGTCCTTCTTTTCCCCCAGGGCCTGCGTCTGAGCTCGCTGGTTGTCATGAGGAGTCATGGGACTGATTCAGATGGATGAAAATTAACTCTGTGTTGCTTCTTTGTTCCTCAGCTCCTCTCATGCTTCCTTAAAAATGGATGATATACAGGACGGGGTTCAGATTGGAGAGAACAAGTTCGTCAGCAAGTAAGGTTTCAATTCCACACTGTCTCACTTTAACGTGAGACAACATATTCAGGGTTAGCAAAACAAGTTAGATGTTACACAGCTTTCTGTCTATTTACTGTCTTTCACTTTTGGGTATCTTTCAGGCACATGTGATGTAAACGATATCCTTTATTGAATGACAGGTAGATTTACAAGGACAAATAAGTAGAAATAATCATGAAAGACCAGATTAAATATTTAAAATGAAAGCTTTTCAAAAGAATATGTGTTTGTCTTGGCGTCTGTGCAGCTCTAAACAACAGTCAGAGCCTTTGGGATAGGATCATTGGATATTTATGAAGCTGCTGGGCCCGGCAACATTTTCTCTTGCAGTTATTTTATTGATTAAATGGCTGATTTTCAGTCAGTAAACTCAGCATACACAAAGCACAAGTAATATTTAGTAAATGAGCCCTGCCTTAAATAATTTATTCCCTGGACAATAAAAACTACTGTTGAAGTACAGTACAGCGAATAAATAAACTCCTAACCATACTAAAACATAACACTGGAGCCCCTTGCAGAGGCCTAACAATGTCATTTTTATGTGTGCAACATGTAGGAGGTGCTCAGGATTGACATTAAATCAGTTAAATATTCAAATGGGAAAAACTACTGTGTCAGTTTCAAGTTTGTCTATCTTTTCTGAATAATACAAAGTATGGTAATTGCTACAGAGCTGGTGTTCTTAGAAGAGCATTAAAGTCAGACCCAGAATGTTTAAGGAGTCAGTTGAGACTGAATAAGAAACCTGTATTACCGAGAGGATGCCTAAACCTTTTGCCGTGAGGACCTGAAAGCCTGCATAAACCTCTATAAACTACTCTCCTGTTCCTATTTCCGGCAGAAGCCTTTGCTAAATTAGTTACATTGGTTTTTGTAAAGTTTTATATAATAAAATAAATGATAATATAAATGAATCCAGAGAAGCTTTAATTACATTTTGCCTGGTTTCATCACATGTGCTCTGTTGTATTTGCGTGACTCCTGCTAACATGGACTGCAGGCTCTTTTGTAAATGTTTTGTCCTCAGTGGTTCATCTCCTCTGTTTTCAGGGCAACAGTCCTCTCACATCTTAAAACGTACAACCTGTATTATGAGGGACAGAATCTACAGCTGCGGCACAGAGAAGTAAGTAGGATTCATTTTGTTACTCAAGAGCCCAGTTGTCTTTACCCCTTGTCCCATTTGGTCCTTTCTCTTTTTCTCTGCCATTTGGAATCTAATATACACCAAAAATGACACTGTGTGTCTGTACTTGTGTGTGTGCACTGATCATAGATGTGTGTCTCCTAACAGGAAGAGGGGGAGCTGATCGTTGAGGGCTTGCTCAATATCTTTTGGGGCCTACGGCGACCAATCCGGCTACAGATGCAGGATGACCATGAGCGAATTCGACCGCCCCCCTCCTCCACGTCCTGGCACTCTGGTTGCAATCTGGATAGTCAAGGGTAAGTGGTCCAAAAAGATCCAGTTACGCCTCAGTGACCGGAAACTGATATGGATTATGTCTAGTTTGTCCGATGATGAATCAGACTGCATTTACCCATTTTTAAATCAGTTTGTTTTTTTATAGATTAATCAGAGGTAAATCCATGTAGGACACTTTGCTAAATCCTCTATATAGATATACATTTACCCAGGTAGGCAGCACTACCTAAACAAGAGCAAACCTTCTCACGCCCCACTTTTGGCTCTGTCTTGTTTTTTGCCCCAAGCTATAACACATCCATCTGTGTCAATTAGCTCAAAGCCTCTTAATCAGCCCTGTAATCACATTTATCAAGTGATGTTAGCGTTGTTAAAAATGACAGGCCTCAGCTGGCACTTTGTTTGTTAAAGGGCATTCAGAACAAGGGCAAAATAGCCCAGGCAAAATATTCTTAAAAATGCATCACCCACTGAAAATGTCAAAGAAATGCTGTGAAAACTCATAGTGGTACATTAAAACATGAGGACATTTTTGCTAAAAAAAAAAAAAAAAATTTAAATAAAGGAAAGCCGAACCCTGCCCATAAATGTATGACACAGCTCTGTCAGCGACTGTGAACTAAATGGAACATTTAGGCTTTAAATTAAACTCCAGTGGGCGTTTTCCATTATCACCTTTTGAGCTTGGTCCGTCGTTACTTGACTCAACACAGTTTAGGTAGTTTTCCATCATATCTGAGTACCACCTCAATGTATGTGGGATCATTACAAGACACACACCTGCTGCACCTTGTGTGTTCGTTTGTGTGTAACCATTTACCCCACTAGTGATGACCCCAGAGGTAACAAAATCTCTGCTCACTGTGGGCGGGGTTTTCGTTGAGTTGCTTTCATGCCTCATCCAGCCACCACTCTCCGGCCCATTAGTGGCCTGAAAGTCTGTTGGTGTCATGTTTTTGGCTCGACACGGCTGTTTTGGACCCCTGGAAAAGTTACATGCCCAAATTGTAACTGATGGCAATCCAAAAAATCCCAAGTCGAGCACTGTCATGTAGTTACCAGAGGAAAAGTAAAAAAGTAACAGTGAAAAACAGTAAAAAAGTGCCTCCCCCTAAGTTTGGTTGCAAGAAAGAGTCGAAGCATTTTTCTGTCTCTGTTTGTGCTGCTTTTATCAGCAAATCATTTTGCAACTCTCTTAAAAATCTTCCTCTTGCACCCCCCCTCCCCACAGCTCCCCCAGTAACACAGATGGCCAGCAGACGGGCCAGATGAGTCCACCCACCGTGGAGGTGACGCCGCCTGCCTGTCAGCTAGAAGACAACGGATTGGAAGAGGAACACCCAGAAGGTGAGTGACCTTAAAGACTTTATGAATACTATCTGTTGCCATGGCTACCGATCCAGTAAACGTACATCTCACTATGTTTTTTCATGCCAATTTGAAGCAACACTGTGCTACTTGTTACATTTATTTGAAACATAAAGTATTTGGTCATTAGTTTGATAGAAGCAAGTTAGCACATTGTTGTAAACACAGTCAATCTAAAATCCATCATGTAATTACTTAAAGATTTTTTTTTTTATGATTGCATAGCGGTTAATTCAGCATTAGTGTATCCGGCCTCGAAATATAACCTTTAAAATGAGCCAAAGAAAAGTTTTTTCTAGGCTGTGATAAGTAACATTTTAGTCAAAAGACAAGGAACATTTATAACTCCTTAACATTTGTAACAGCCCTGCATACATGTCTGTTTTTTATTGGACAGAGGACAGCGAGAGTTCAGCTCAGCTCCTGAGGACAAAGAGTGATGCTGGATTTTTGAGACGAGGCCAGCGGAGGTCCCCGAGCGACCAGAGAAAAATCAGGCGCCACCGATTCTCCATCAACGGACACTTTTACAACCACAAGGTGAGGCGGCCGTTGGATCCTTTGAAAGTCTGTTACGCTGGTTTCATAGTGCTGAACTAAACTTCTGTTGCTTTGGGTGTCCACTCTCTCAGACGGCCGTCTTCACGCCCGCCTTCGGCTCCGTCACCAATGTCCGGATCAACAGCTGCATGACCACCCCCCAGGTGCTGCGGGTCCTCCTCAACAAGTTCAAGATCGAAAACAGCCCGGATGACTTTGCTCTCTACCTTGTCCATGCCAGTGGAGGTAAGAGGGGGTCGTCATGACGATGGCGGGCTGCACGGTGGGGTAAAGCACAGGTTAATCCCCCTCTTTGTGTGTGGGTTTCAGAGCGTGTGAAACTGAAACGGACCGACTATCCCCTGGCGCTGAGGATAATGCAGGGGCCTTGTGAGCAGGTCTGCAAAGTCTTCCTCATGGAAGAAGACCTGGGTGAAGAAGTCACATACGATGTAAATCTCCAGCTTCACTGTGGCTTTTCCACCTTTTCAGTCTCTCCTCCGTTTATGAGACTGGGCCTGTAACGGGGTCTTTGCCTCCACCAGGTGGCGCAGTACATCAAGTTTGAAATGCCGGTCCTGCAGAGCTTCATCACCAAGCTGAAGGAGGAGGAGGACCGAGAGGTGCAGAAACTCAGGAGAAGGTGACCGCAGCCCCGTGCACACTGTGCCGTGATGTCCACACTGTCACCAGCCGAGGTGGCCTCAACACCTTCTCTCCATTCTTACAGGTATAATTACCTGCGCTGCATCATCGAGAGGCAGCTCCGGTGTCTTCCGGAAAGCACAAAGTGCATGTGAGCCGCTCATGGTGAGCTTTCCCTCCATCACACCCAACCATTCCAAGCTTTCCCAGAGTGCCACGTCCCCCCCGCCACCACCTACGGAGTGACCCAGAACCCACTGACTAGTAACCGGTGCACACGCCTCCGACACGCTGAGCTGTGTGCATGTGAAGTGGGACCCTCTGAGCATCACAGTTCTGACAACTCTGTCTCTAGGACTGGTGCTCACAGAAGGACTGAGCCAAACAATGTGAGAGCTAAATGAGCCGAGAGCATAACAGCCGGTCTTCTCTTCCCTACAGCAGTGTTCCCCTGGGCTTAAAGCGGATACGTCCTGACGTGTGACCTGAGCAAAGTGCCTGTTTGAAAGTTTAGCAAAGCACAACAAAAAACGCAGTCGTCAATCGAATATTTTAGATTTTAACGTGTAAAATTTTAAGACCACAGAAAAATGGATCACAGCAAGAGATGCGACAGCAGAGCACAAACCCGTTCCCTCCTCTTGGGGACTGGAAGGATGAATGTTTTTTCTTTACGTACAGCAGATAACTTCCTGAATCTCTCTGTCTGATGATCAAAGCAGGTGTTTATGGATCCTCTGAAGACGTGTTCGGTGGTGATGATGTTCAAAAGGTTGTGGGATGTTCTGTATGTTTTTGTGAAGCAGCCGATGAGGCAGGAAACGGGGAGGTGTGGGGATTTGAAAAGGGACCAAATGCTCCTGTCAAGTTCTCTTATTAGCGTGTTTAACTCTCTTTAAACCTGTGAAAAGTCGGAGTGTGAATTAGTTTTCTCCGCTTAGGTTTGTGTTCTGGACTGCCTCATCTGATTCAGAGCTGCTGTTACGCTTGTGAGACTTAAACAAATGAGAGCTGAGGCGCTAACCACTAAAGCCCGTGCTTGTAGACTAAATTTCTTACTTTCCGACAAATCCAGATTAGCTGTTAGTCATTTGTGTGGAACGACTAATGTCCATGCGATAACTGAGCCAAAAAGAAAACAAGATGTCACTTTTTTCCTTTTTTTTTGACTCACACAAACACACACACACACACAAACACACTGTGAATGACACTGAGGGGCGTTTGAGATCTTTTAAATGAATGGATGAGCATTTCAAAGCAGGACAGTTTGCCTCCTCATGCCCAGCACTTTGCATTTCTCTGCTTTCAACCGGTTCAGTATTTTTGTCCTTCCCACCACCGACTGCATCCTCTAAGAGCGTCCGCTCGCCTCTGAGGGTGTGCATGCTGTATTTTGAACAAGTCTTAACACCTTTGCCTGCTTTTGTATTGTCTTTTACAAAATACGGAGGAATTTTTAGGCTTTAAAATGTGAAGATCGCCTGCCACAACATGGAAAATGAAGGTTTTTTCATGCAGTGATTGTTATTTAATAAAAAAAAAGTAATCTGCTGAATGAGCATGCGTGATGTCCATCTGTGGTGTTTTGGTCAACAAATGGGCCAATGGGCAGTGCTCACCACGCCAATGGAGAAAACAACTCATTGTGGAAGCTTCGGGAGAGATTGTGAAGTGTCCTGCTTTCCTCTTTTAGTAAGCGGTTGAATAATCCAGACAGAATTAGAAACACGAATTTGGCCTCACCGTATTTAAGGGCAGTGTCTGGGGTTCAGCAGATTACCGGACAACAGAAAATCAGCCAATGAGCTTTGGTGAAGCCACTCCACCTGACTGAGATTGTCTGGAGGATAACAGGCTGACGCACCCTCTCCTGCAGCACAGACGCTCGGAGGACACACTTTTGCTTTTGCTGAAAGAAGAAAAGAGCGCCTTCGGAGACTCAACAGGTGAGATTGACTAATCTTTTTTTTGTTAAACGTCATTGTTTGAAGTTTAGATGCAATGTTAATACAGAAGTATTAATGTCTTGTATTTAGCCACGTAACCAACACTTTTCTTGGGGAGAATCAGTGGTACTGTAGCATAAATTCAGGTCTATCTCTTGTCAATATACACACAATAGATTGTTTATCTTCTTTAAGGATCCGTCTCGTGGTGATTATAATCTGGGAGTCACTGGATTATTCTCACACAAAGTGACCTAGTGTAATAATAGCTCCAGCACAGTGTGACAGGACACAGATTACAGTCTGTTGACAGCAGACCAAACAACACACCTTGCTGTCACCATTGAATGAAAGTGGTTATGTCCAGCGGAGCGTCATATTCTCCTCCTGGGAGAGCGGTAGCTGCTGTCCGTTCCTGTCAAATAGTTTTATTTCCCTCTGAAACGAAGGCGATCGAGCGGTCAGGAGCAGTCTGGACGTACCCAAACACCTCAGTGTTGTCGTGGACAGCCTGACCAGCTGCATCCAACTGCAATATCTGCTGTTTATTACACTCAAATCCACCTGTAGGTCAAACGGGATGTTCACAGTCGGGTCCGCAAGTTAGTTTTCCAAGCATAAATACGTTCTTATGTACCTGAAAGGATCTTTTCAGTTCCTCTCATATTTTTTTGGTTTTCAATTCTCTGCTTGTTTTTCCCTTTCAACGTACAGTTATGTCACAGAGGATTAACCATGAATCAAAACGATCTATTCTGTACCAGCCTGTTTATCTATCCAGCATGCCCTGTCCACAGATCTAAGTCCAGTCTTCCAAATCCTCATTAAAAGGACTTTAGATTATAAAAGCTATCTGATCTCATGTCAGCTCTGATGTCAGACGTGCTGCTGCTTGTGTAAGATGGGCTTTTCGAAGACGGATTAAGAGGAGTATTCTTTACTGCTCTTTATATAACAGCCAAAAATACCACATGGGGGGGGGCTAAAGCTGTGCTGAGCAGTCTGTTTGTGTTTTGGGGAAAACTATGGATCTGGAAGTAACAACTAGAGGCTTTCGCTTTTAGGGCCAGAATACTTTTGCTTAAATCTATAAGAGCTGGATGGAGGTCTTTTTATTCTTTCCCTTACAAAGATCTAGACAAGACTTTTCCGTCTGAGATGGATTGCAGTACTTGGCTTGATAGTTTTTTTTTTTAATAGATAGTTGACACTTCTATCGCCCTGTGACTTTTTCATAATTGCTTACATTTAGGGTTTTTCTTATGGGTATGTTTAGAATTATCTAAAGTTTTCTGTGTGTATTTCCAAAAAATGACTTCTGAAGATATTCATCTTTGTGATCTTGAAACAAAATGTTTGCAATTAACACGTAACTAAATGACAGACAACAGAAAATCTGTCTTTTTTTGTTTCATATGAAGGATTAAAGTGACCTCAGCCTAATCTAGAGAGCCTGAACTCCCTCTTTCTTTTCCCAGGTTGAAGTCATGGCGGTTCCTCAGAGGCTCCCCATGGCGGTCACCCTCTGCCTGCTGCTGCTGCTGCTGCCCGCCTGCGAGGCCCGGCGGGGCCGCGGGGGCGGGGGGTTCGGCCGGGGGATGGGCGGCGGCGGCGGGGGCTACGGGCGGGGCTGGGGGGGCGGCGGGGGCTACAGGCCCGTGGGGCCCGTGCAGAGCAGCGGCCCCAGCGCGGGGAAGGTGGCCGGGGCTGCGGCCGCGGGGGCCTTAGGAGGGGCCGTGCTGGGCTCCGCCCTCAGCCGCCCCGGGTACGGCTACGGGGGCGGGTATGGAGGGTATGGAGGGGGCTACGGAGGGTACGGAGGGTATGGAGGCTACGGAGGGGGCTACGGACCCCGGTATGGAGCCGGCTATGGGCCCAGGCCCGCCTACGAGCCCGAGGGCTCCGGGGATTTGGAGTACTACACCGGGGCTTCCAGCGGGCCCATCTACAACAGCATCGTGGTGGTCATCGGCTCCCTGCTGCTCGGCCACTGGGTGGCGCTCATGTAGAGCCGGAGCCTGAGCTGGAGGCTGCCATCTGCCCAGAAATGTGACTTTGGGGAGTTTTTTGTAATACTAGAAGGCCCTAGAAGATGACCTTTCTGTCTGCAGGTGTTCAACAACAAAGCAACATGACAGAACAAACCTCCAGATGATATTTGTTAGAGATCATTTGATTGAATGTAACACCATATCTGTTATTTTCTATTTTTCTCCTTAAGCAGGCGGTGACAACGGACCAGACATAGATTATACTGTATGTGTAATCGGGTTAAATCTACCTCAAGGCGTTCTGTTTGGACTAGGTTTGAAAGCATCAACACTTTTAATGTATTTTTATTTCTAAATGTCACCTGACCTGATATTATTTTGACAGATTTCTTTGCTCTGTCATGAATTAAAGTCTTCTCCGCATAGTATTTTAAATATATGGCTTGTATGCTCTCAGGTTAACTGAATTGTTATTGTATATATTTATTTATTTTTGCCATTTTTTAGGTTTTCATGTTAAAGGGGGAAAGATAAATATGCTTCTGTGTTTGATGTTATTTTTTCACAGAATTTTTGGTCACATAGATTTTTCTTTTAAAGGTTTGGTTATTTATCAAGTGATATGTTAAATAGTGGCTTTCTCTTAGCAGCGTTGTCATGCGCGCCATATTGGTTTGTTTACTTTGGACTCACACGCACCAAAGAAGGCGCTTTATGAGCAATAAGTTCTTCTGGGCCATCACAGGCCATTAGACACCTTGTTTCCCTCCACTGCACATCTAACACAAGTACATCAGGTGACCAGGACAGTAAAAATAATAATTCAAACTTCCACACATAGATGATCTGGAATGTGTCGTGCAATTTCTTCCTTCATATTTGTGTAACAACTGACAGTTACTGTTATTGACAGTTACAACAATGACTCTCTCATGAACTATTATCATTATACTGGGACTGTCATCTACAAAGCCAAATACCTTAAAGTAAACCCAAAATTCTGTGTTTTCACAATGACTTTATTTTGTACTGAAAAGCCCTTGAAATGATGCACAGAAAAAATAAATGATCATTAAAGAAATAACAAATGGACTTCCTGTTTTCTGGTTGGATGTATGTTTATATTCATATGTGTATATAAAAACATTGACGCTGGAACAAGAATAACTAGAACCATTCTTGTTCCAGTATTAATGTCCTGTTCTGCACATAAACCCGGCTGATGGCGGGGTTCAGCGCTCTGTGGGACTTAAGAGCACTTCTTTAACCTCACGCCACTCAGGAAAAGGCAGAGAGGTGGAGGAAAAACATCAGAAAATAACCAAACTGTTGGAAGAAAAGGTAGGAAACCTTAAGAAAGTCCATTGAGTCCAAAGTAAATGTTTTATGAAGTATGAAGACAACATCATGCTCACAGTGATTCACATCAAACAAGAAAACATGGAACAGTTTGGATTTGGATATGAGGATACAACACCGCCCCACTGGTTGTGAGTACAGAGTAAATATGACCTGGTTTAAATTATTATTGTTCTGTGGATATTGTAGATGCAGTTGTATAGATAAGAACACACATAAGAGCCTTGTAGTAATAATAGTTGAGTAATCAAACATTCCCCGAAGTTAAAGAACTCCCCTCACGTTTGAACACATTCCTTAAGCCAAAGCAGAGTTTTTACAGACCCCCGGGGCCCCCCCACCCCCCCCCCCCGGCGCAGACGCTTCTCATGTGCAGACAGAGTACATAAATGACAAAGGACTCGGAAGGTTGAAGTCAACAACTTCTCCGCTTTCAGAAAGATAATCGTTTTCATTTGGATATCACAATAAGTCAGTGGACCACAAGGTTACGACAATTACGTTAATGGTCCCTGCGAAGTCACAAAAAGGTTTTAAGAAGTTCCGACACCGTTTCTAATCGATTGGCTCGTTTCTAATGGCCATGGCCCGTTCCCAGTGTCTTCCCCTGCAAGCCGAGCCTTCAAAGCAGCGACATTTCCGCTATATTGCAATTAATTACCATCAACAGACTACCGAAAACCACGGCTAAAAGCCCCTGCCAGTCCATAGTCAGTCCTTGAGCCCCACCAGTCAGTCTCGTTAAGTACTGTTGGGAGTATATCATGTACAGCTCCAAGCATTTCCTGGCCTTCAGCTGCTCGATCAGAGCCGGGTAGCCGATCTCCACGATGCTGACCTCATCGTCATCCTCAGCGACGATCTGGGAGAGTCGAGCGGGGGCTCCAGGATCATTTGAACTGACCTCTGAGCTGCCGTTGCTGGTCTTGGTCTCTGACGGGGGGGCGACTGCGATGGGGCTAGCAGGCTGAGCTGGAGCCGTGTAGCCGGCCGATTGCTTCCCCGGCTTTGGACCGTCGGTGGGCAGGAGGTTGGTCCTCTTCATGCAGGAGTCCATGTAGCTGTTGTACCCCTGAGGGGGGGGGCTGAAGCTGTAGTCCCGGCCGTAGTCGTTGGCGTCTGTGGACTTGGTCCCGTACTTGCTGTACATGTAGCTGTTGTAGTATTGCTCCTCCTGGGGGTTTCGGAATTGGAAATGCGGACGGGGGAACCTCCCTAACCCGTAGCCCAGCGCCATTCCCGCCACGGCCCCCCCGGCGGCAGCCATGACGGCACTGCGCCCGAAGTTTCTGGAATTGCTGGAGGGGTGCTTTCCCATTGCCTGGACCGACTGGGAGAAAGGAGAGCCCCCCCGGGTACCGTAGCCCCCGTACCCAAAGGAACCGCCGTAGTGCGGGCTCAGGATGGCGTTGGCCGGGTTCCTGTTGATGTGTCCACCAGGGTATCCGCCAGGTTGGCCGTAACCTGTTTGGGGAAACTGGGGGTAGTAGCCCCCCCCGCCCTGCTGCCTGGGGTAGACGGGATAGCCTCCCTGGTTGTTCTGTGTGGGCTGTTTGGGGTTTCCACGATGTGAGGTGGAGCCCTGATTGGGTTTGCTGCCTGTGTTGGTGTGGCTGCTGCCTCTGGACGAAGGGATCTTCTTCGTACCGAAGCTTTTCCCGAACCCCCCTCCCTTTTTGGCCAGCGAAAGAGCGGCGTGAGACAAAAGAATGGACAGGCACAGCACTGATGAGGAACTTATCTTCATCTTCATCCTCTGTGGAAGGAGACAGGGGTAAAATACATGAGTAGGAGTTTTATTGCGAGGTCATAATAATTCTTAGAAGAGTCGCTGCGTGGTTGTGTTTTTACACTAAACACAATGACAGCGCCGCCTCGACACAGTGTCCTGCCCTCCACCACAAACGGTTCCTGACCGGTGCTGGCTGGGTGGAGACGAAACGGCGGCGGCGAGACCCAGAACTCAGATTCAATTATGGGGAAGCTTTCTCTCCACTCACTCCTCTGCTCAGGCGCCTGTGTCTGAAGGCCTGTCTTGTAAATCAATAACTAGGGCTGAATTATGGATGGATTACTGCACACTTTTCATGATGTAATTACTTAATCTAATAAGATCGTTATAATATTTTGCAGGGAATTACCAATTTCCATCATTCACGATATTCGTTTGATTTTTTTTTTTAAAGTCAGTTAATGCAGTTATAACTTATCTTTCGGCAGTTGTTTCCCAGATACAGCAACAAAGCAACAAATCAAACAAGAAAAGCACAACCTGGCATATAGGGGGGAAAAATTAAACTATCATAAATCCAGTCGAGTATCTTTTTAATGCAGTTTTACTTTTTTTTCTGTGGTTATGAAAGCTGTCAATGGTCAACAGGAATCATGAAGGGGGGCAATCCTGTCGATACGTAAACCACCTGCTGCATGACCCACAGCAGGTGCTTCCATTGTTCAGCCTCCTGGTTTACCAACAGCCCTTTGCCGTTTCACTTTCTGTGAGGAAGATGTGTCAGAAACCAAAGCTGTGGGAACAGACCTGTTTGTCAAACCAGGAACTGTTGAATGTGGACCTGAGTCCCCAGAAAGATGCCCGCCTATCCTATGGTTTGTTTTTGTTTTCTTAAATGAAGAAGTAAACAAGGGATCTAGTTTTCAGATGAGGGATCAATTTTCCCCTCTGAAGGGCAACCAGTCAAAACACGGCCGCAGATCACCCTAACAGACCCAGTCTGCCACGCGTGTCATCATCTGATGAATCACTTCCTGATCTGGATGAGGTTCAACATTCATCTCAGTGCCTTTTAATTCCCGACAGCACTCCGATGATGAGAGGACACCCATCACAAGTCCAGCTTTCCATAAGGAGATGTCACATACAAGGAGACTATTAAATCAAACACGGTGAGGTCAGATGCATTACGGTCTGTTTTTTTTTTTTAAAAGATGGATCGTTCAAAGACTACAAGTGCCTTTTAAATGTCGAGTAGAAAGGTGTGGCTCTTTCTTAACACCACCTTACCTTGATTAAAAGCCCTTTAGTTGTCAACTTTTCTCCCTGTTCCGGGTCTCCGTGAGCCTGCAGGTGAGCGTTCGCCTCCTCGGAGTAGATGCGGTCGTCTCCACCTTCTGGAAGCTGATGCCCGGCTGACGTAGAGACGAGATGTGGGTCGCCTAGAAACAGAGGAGGGGGGGCGGGGCTTTGTTTGGCCCGTCAGTCTGCCGCGCGAATCACGTGACCGTGCGTCTTCAGTTCGGAAAATCATCGCGTGCGGTAAGTTGTTCTACGACGCGAAAATATCACGCGCCTGTCCTTTATACAGTATTTGTATAAAATACAAAGACAGGATATAATGCTCCTTATTCAGAACCGGTTCATTTTTATCTTAAATCGATATAAAATGTTTTTGAGGACATGTCGTGTTTACAGGTAGTTCTAACTTACTAATTAAACGTCCCACGATACACAATACAATGTAAAAGTCCCGGGAAATTATATTTCTAAGATATAGCTCGGAAATAGTTCAGTAGTTTCATAAAGTTTTAACAATGAGTAAACATAAACAGGAATGCAATATTCTATGCAATAAACATAATGTGAAATGCTTTTTTTATGTCCTTATGAAACCTAAAGTTACAGTTAATAAGGTGCTAATTGCCTTTCATTTGTCGACAAAACACCCTCTACTCCACTTTTTAAAATGACATCTAAGACTGACCCCTTCGAAGTCAAATTAAAAGAACTGAGTGGTAGATCAAATGGACTTCACTACATTTTCCAAGAATTTTACGTTTTTCTTGGTTTTGTTTTGTGTTGTAATAGGAGATCTTTTTTTATTATTGATAAACAAGCTTACCCCTTTTTAACATGCTGAATATTTGCTTTTAATAGGCCACCTACAGAAAACCACAGAAAGAGGGCTGATAACATTAAACTTTATTGCAGCAACTAAGCAAAAAAAAAAAGAAACATTAAAAAAAGCAGCTCTGAGCAGCTCTCAAGCAGCATGTTTTTGTGATGCGCAGATAAAAGCTGCTTTAATGAGCTCTGGGAGCAGTAGTGGTTGCTATTAGACGTTTTCCTGTGTGCACCAGTGTATATACTGAGATGATGGAAACTGCCAATAATGAATTATTCAGGGAAACCATGGTCATCTCACATCTCTTAAACACATTAAAGGTATCCATGACATTAAAATCTTTTAATGACAACATTGATGCTTACAATCATAGACACCAGCAAAACCCTCCAATAAACCAGGGCATAGAGACTTCCTTTCCATTAATATATTTCCACTTATGTCCAGAAAAACAGTGTTTTATCGTTGGACACGATTGAACTGGTTTAAACTGAAGGGTAAAAGTAATGGTGGAAACAAAGCATAAAGAATGATCCTACAGATAGCTGTTAACAAATACACTTCCATGAGAAAAAGACTGAATCTAGTTTCAGTAAAGTTATTCAGAAAATGTACTAACAGTCGGGTTGTACAGTGATGGGCTCCCTTCGGTAAAAATGCATTAGAGGTGAAAAAAAAGCGAGTGGCTCTTCCACTAATAGCACATCTAAGCTACCACAAAGTCATAAAAGGAATCTAGTATAAAGAAAATATATATACATATCACTGGTCAGATTTTTGTAATAAATAAAACGAGAGTAGTCTGCAGCTGTCACAGTAGTACAGTTGAGCTCTTGTTGAATTTTGAAACATCTATTCATGATCTTTTTCCATGCTCTAAGTGCTGACAGGTCATCGTGTTATTTAGGATCATTTTGTAAAACTTTTAATTCGATCAAAACACCTCACCTCACTCCTCCTTTCATCAGGACACAATAGAAAACTGAGAGGTTTTAAAGTTTAGTTCATATTTCTCATGTCTTTCTGGGATTGTGGGGGTTATTTTCAAACACCCTAAACTTCTGAACCCCTCAGTCCAGCAGCATTAGCACGTTGTTTCCCAGTAGCACCAGTGCCACACTGGTGATTACGGACAGACTGTGGCCCGTCTCCACCCCCCCCCAGCCGCTGGCTGCGGGGGCAATCTTTCTCTTTAAGTGCTTCTCGCTGTAGACTACGTAAAGTTCTACGCATCTCCTCTCTTTCAACTGTCTGATAAGAGCCGGATAACCAATTTCCACAATGCTAACTGTGTCGTCATCATCCTCAATCCTGTCGTGCGGTTGGAGCAGCTGGGAGGCTGGCGGGGGTTCGGGGTTGGGCTCTGTCCTATTCGGAGAGAGCGGGGTTGAGGGCGGCGTGGCCGAGGAGTTCTGAGCCGGGGTGCTACCGATACCGCTCACTGGCGCTGCCTCGGTTGAGGTTGTTGAACTGGCAGCCATAGTTGTCTTGGCTGGTCCTGGATCTGGACCTGGGGCAGGACCTGGGGCCGGTCTGTCGTCGGGCTTTCTGCGGCCCACGGGCAGCAGGTCGGTTCTCCTCAGGCAGGAGTCCATGAAGCTGTCGAATGTTCCGGGCGGGGTCTGGAGCTCGTAATCTCTGCTGTAGTCGTTGCTGTCCGTAGACCTCGCGCCGTACTTCCTGTACATGTAGTGGTTGTAGTAGAGCTCCTCCTCGGGGCTGTGGAAGTGGAAATGAGGCCGGGGGAATCGTCCTAACCCGTAGCCCAGGGCCATCCCCGCCACGGCCCCCCCGGCCGCCGCCATCACTGCGCTGCGGCCAAACCCTCTGGATTTATCGGAGGGAGCGTACCCCATGGCCTGGACCGAGTGAGAGAAGGGAGAGCCGCCCCCACCCGCATGACCCCCGTATCCAAAGCTGCCACCGTACTGAGGGCTCAGGATCCGGTTGTTCGGGTTGTAATTGATATAACTACCTGGAGAATTTCCATAATTGCCTAAACCCCCGCCATATGGGTGGTTCTGTGCTGGGAAAGCACCGGCGGGGTACCCTGGATACTGGGGGTACCCGGCCTGGTTGGGGTACCCCCCAGGTCTGGCTGGATATTGAGGGTACCCCGCCTGGTTTGGGTACCCGGCCTGGTTGGGGTACCCCCCCGGTCTGGCTGGATACTGGTTGTACCCGACCTGGTTGGGGTACCCTCCCGGACTGGATGGATTCTGGGGGTAGCCACCTGCTGGTTGCTGAGGGTAGCCCCCCCGATTAAACTGCGTAGGCTGTTTAGCCTTTTTAAGGATTGACTCTTTACGTTTGGCGTCCAAGGTGGTTTTTGTTTTGGGGAGCTTCTTAAAAAGAGTCAGACTTCCTGCAATCCCTCCTTTGCCTTTCTTTACTGCAAGCGAAACATCAAAGAGAACCAAAAGAATGGTCAAGCACAAGACAGCCGCTACAGTCCGCTTCATCTTCGCTCTGCAGGGGAGAAAAGAAATGGGAAATTATATTAGTTATGCTGTCCCACCATAGCTTTTTTTTCCCTCTTTCAATTTGGGTCGGACATACTGATTTTGAAGTAAATAAGAATGATTTCAAACTTGTAATGAATGTACTGTTTGCAACTTTTACCTTTGGATTTATGACTTTTGCAGATAAAACATCATCCATACCAGACAAAAAGTATGATCACTGCAAAGCTTTAACAAAACAAAAAAAAATACATGGCTTAACCTTGTTTTCTATCATAATCTAATTTGAAACAGAAAAACAGCCAAATGGAGTAGCCACAGCTGCATTAGGACTCCACATCTGGAGTGATACCTCCCTCCATTAGGTGTTTGACTTTTGATAAAGTTTGTTATTTTAACGTCAGGACTTCTTTTGCAATCTTTGTTTAGTTGGATGACTTTTTTTTGTGCTTTTAAACTTTTGGTGCACAGACAGATGTTTTCACCATTCATTGTTCCAGCAAATAAGTCAACCACTGCACCTCGCCCACAGGCAGTGAAGCTCTTTTAATCGATAGTTTCCCTTTCCTCCATTTCCCTTTTGAACACATCCACTCGTCAAGCACTTGGTCGCAACTGCTTTCTGATTTTCCATGTGACTTTTCACCGGCCCGCAGACGGTAGGAGAGTGGTCTGGGCCACTCCTGGATGTCCTCACTTTCCATAATTGAATCACGATCCACATCAGAGCCACTCTGATGACAAGGCCTCAGATGATATTTTCACAAAAACATGCAAAAATCTAAAATATCTACATTTATCCCCAAATTTCCTTTGGGAATAAATCTATCTATCTATCTATCTATCTATCTATCTATCTATCTATCTATCTATCTATCCCCACTTCTCTGTCATGTCATTTACACCTCTGCTTTGTCTCCACATCGGGGTCAGGAGTTCAGTATGACTGAACAGTTTCATATTTGTTCGCAGATGATCTTTTGCAGCTGGCTTTTTCTTCAGAATAGAATATACAACGCACCGACACATGACACAGATTTCACATGCTCTCAGAGGGCCCAGCTCTCCTGTGGCCAGCCTGAAGCTGGCAGGCTCAAAATAGCTCGATGAGACTCCTTTAGACCCACTGCCAGCAGACACACGTTAACCCTTCACACTTCTATTAGTGCATTGGTTTGTTGTCGGTAAGGAAAAAAAAGCTCAAAACGTCTTTCCGAAGGAGCCCCTATTCACAAGTGGGCTACAGTGAAATGATATTAATCGAAAGGGAAATTGTTTTGCCTGTTAATGTTATATAACATGCAAACATCCAAATATTGTTTTGCCATTTGTTCTTCTTTTAGGAAAGCCAGCCATAAGTAGAAAAGTGAAACGTGTATTTTCAGCACACCAAAAAAAAAGCGCAGTGGGAATGATTAGTTCAAACCCCGTCCACTGTTAATATCAAACATTCAGAGGCACAGTTTTGCGTGTACTGACCTTCTGGATCCACTAACGCTGGCGTTTGACTCCCCCTCCTCTCCCCACCTCTCCTTTTGGCAGATACAATTTCAGCCCCTCCTGTCCTCCACCAACAGCCAGCTAAAAACTCAGATAAAAACGCTCATCAACGTTTACCAGTGGAGGTAAGAAGGGATGTAAGTTGTTGACTGTGAAGCAGATATCTGATTTGAGCAGATTAGATAGTTTTGGAGAAGAGAAAAACTGGATACATTTTTTCATTTTTTTTTTATTCTCATGAACTCAGCATAACTGAGAATTATGGTTAAACACAAACTTTTTTTTCAAAAGGTTTGGCAGTTGGAGAGCTAAACCCAAAATGAAGGAATAATGAGTAAAGATGAAAGAGTAAACCCCCCCCCCCTTGAAGCTGAAGGAGATGAAACCCTTTGGTTTTCTCACAATTACGAACTAGTAATGTTTGTCCTTACAACAGCATGGGCTTTGTCATCTCATGATCATGAGATCTTTCCCTCATGATTTTGGAAATAAAGAAAATTCGTCTGCATATTTCACAAAATACACAAGTGTTTCTTGTTCCCTTACCAAAATGCAGTGGCAAATAGTCATGTTTGAAAAGGAAAAACAAGCTGTCTATTTAAAATAATCCGATTCCCCAGAGAAACAAACGCATCCCTTGTGGTTGTTTCTGATATTATCACGTCAGACACACTCACACCAGCAGGATGGCTTTCAAAGTAAACTGTTTGCCACCTATTTTTAATCTAATATGTTGAATACTTTATTGGGTTATTCTGATCAGATCTGCTACCATCAGAGTGATAAAATGAAATAAAAAAAAAGCCCAGTTCTCACTCACTACCTTTTTTCTCTCTTCCATGATGGCAGAAGGTGGAAGAGAGCTGCTGGCAGAGATGTGACACAGGGCGCCACCTGGTGGCCGTGTAGGGGGAATTCAAAAGCTCAGGCTCTGGTTAAATCCCTCCCGCCCCTCACGTGTGTCCTCATATCCACGATGAAAGACAGGAGACAGGTGTAAAATAGGTCATTGTTTTAATCAGACGAATTCTTTTAGTGTCACAGCCCCCACACATTTAGCACGTTGAGCGTTGGGATGCAGGCTCTGCATGGCCTGGACCGCAGCGCTACGCTTAGAATCGCACCATCAGAAGGCTGAAGGTGGGCACAGTGTCTGTTAACACACAAAATGACAACCGACAGGTGAACGCACACTGTTCCACAGAGCCACGCAACCATAGTTAATCAGAACCCAATCATGGATGTCGATGGAGGATTTCCAGTCTGGCACATGCTTCATTACGTCACACCAACTCAACAAGCTGAATGAAAGCTTTTATGGCCCTCTGAAAATGGTTTTACTCTATAGATATCTTTATATATTCTTAACAGATCGGCACTCTGCCTGCAGTGATGGAGAGACCACTCCTGGTTTAGGTGTGGTGACAGCTACAGCCGTGTACAGCCGTCAGCGGCGAGAAATGGGGTGAAAGATGCTTTTTTAGCCCATTGGGAAAGCACATAGCCTTATTTTATTTTTTTTAAAACAAAAAAAAGCAAAGGAAAAAAGCACATAATTTCACATCTTCAGACTTCAGGGGAAACGCTGAACATGGCATCAGAGCACAGAAAAGCAGCTGTAACGTTTCTCTAAAAATCGTCTATCTCTTTGTAACCGCGGCAGTTTTAAATGGCGGTTTGTAATCTCCATCAGCTTCCACGCTGGCGTGGGAACGGGCAGTGTGGGGCACACTGGGTTTAACGGAAAGGGCAAAGGGAGACATTCCAATCAATCAATCATAAAGTACAAATGGGCACTTCAAAAACACTGAGGTGATGGTTCAAAACAAAGAGCTCTGCCAGCAGCCGCCATTTAGCCTCAGGCACATGTTCAGGACCCATAAGAGGTCCTCACCAGCAGTCTTCTGGTGTGAGGGTCTTTTCACTCGAGGCGTCCTCCTGTACGAGGTGCCTATGGATGAATGTGGGCACAGTGATGCCTTCAGGGTTCTGTCTATACTGGGGAATGGGAGGATTACAAAACTTGGGGGTGAAAAAAAAAGCATAATAATCTAAAATTTCCTCTTTTATTGCCATCATACCAAAAATAACATTAATCTCGAATGTGGCGTCTGGTTTTTAGACCCCCCCCCCCCAATATAATATTATATCTATTTGGATAACATTAAGTAAAGTATTTTCTCTTCAGTTGAAAGACGTTTTAGCATCCTACTGCTCAAACACAATACATACAGCATATATGCAAATAAAATCTGCACTCGTTTGTACAGATTGTCCTCTCAGTGGCTTTTCAGTGAAGGCTGACTTTAACTACAAGTCACCTCCAGGTTTAAGGAGCGAGTCGGTTCTCTTGTACCAGTCTTCATCCACCAGTTACAGCAGCAGTAAACAAAAGAGCTATGTCACCCTGTTGAGAAGCTCGTCCACCGGCAGACGGGACCCGTCTTTCCTCAGACATCTCGTTCTGTGCGTGCTCCGCCTGCCGGGGCGGCTCGGCCTCTGGAGCCTAAATGAAGGAGGCGCAGCGACTCAAGCGCACAGTTCCACAAATAAAACTAAATAAAAACCGCTAGGAGACGATGCCGGCCTTTGCATAGCAAAACTGTACAAAGCTGCTGTTTCTGATGTGAGACAGGAAAATGTACATATTTACAAATTTACAGAGGAAGGAGGATGAGGAGGAGGCTGCTCCTCGGGGACCGCGGAGGGGCCGCTTTAGCGGGATGCCCCGGGTGTTAACAGCATGGACGAATGTCAGAGTGGAGGGCTGACGGTGGATGGAGGAAGCCAAATTCTCCTGGGACAAAGTAGCCGATGAGACGTTGGTCCAAGGAGATGAGGTGGGGGGGGGTTTACGTGGCCTTTTACCGAATGTAGGCCATCGCTGGGGAGCCACCCGACACCCCTCTTCCCATGAGGACACCAGTGGGGGGCCGGTCCTTCCACCGCCGGGCCGCTCCTCGCTACACGCCGTTGGCGCTCATCTTGCTCTTCTGGGTGACCTCGGTGGCGGCTTTAGCCTGTGGAGGAGGAAACACAGGCGAATGTATTCACGTGAGGCGACACCTGACCGCCTGCTGTTCACGCTGGTAGCACTTGCTCCCCGAAAAGAGCTGCCGGCGCAGCAGAGTGTGCAGGGAATGTAAATAGGATCAGGATGAGTGTTCTGCCAGCTCATCAAATGCCAAAGCCTCTAAGGTACATTCACACAAACCGTTAGGCTTCCAAATAAGAAATTACAGAATCAGAAGTACTTAAATAGTCCCAGAGTCTGCTTTCATAGTCTGACCCTTTTCAAGATTTTTTTTTTACTTTCTTCTCATTACTGTGCAGGCCACGTCTCGCCCTGGAGCACCAGCATGAAGCTGAGCTGCTCTAAAGATTGTGGCAAATGGTCAAAATCCACTCAGCCGGTCCCAAGATGTCAGCGCTTTTCCGTGAGCGAGACCGAGTCCGGCAAATGGTGACGGGTTTAAAAATAACAGAAACATTCAAACAATGCCGTTTATTTTTGTCTGGACCTCGTACGTAACGGACTAATCAGCAGTTATAAAACTTATGTGGAGCTTTAAGGTGAATTCTGTAAGCCGAGACCTCTGAACTTCTTAACTGAGAAGAAAACGGGGCACTGGGTTGTTCTTATTTCCTGACCAGTCAACGGGCCCTGTAATGTTACATATGGAGATTGGATTTAAAACACATCCGTCAGGAACAGTGTGCTGCATTATTGTAGCTTAGCGTTTCCATGTGACCAAATACCTGTAGTTCTGTTTATAAAGCTGTTGGGGCTAATCAGCTCTAAAGCATGGTTAGCCAAAGTCAACGTTTGACATGTATTTGGTCTTCATGACCGGAAATTAGTTTACATTTCTTTAGGGAAGGTTGTTTTTCTCTTAAATACATTGAACAAGCCAAGTGTCATTCCTTATCCCAACACTAAATGTATGTTGGTGACTCTTTGCCACCGTAAGACATTAAAACATCAGGTGACAGATCAAAGCAGGATTGTTGGTATCAAGCTTCAGGCTGAATTCTGTGGATGCTGAAGGTTTATCGAGGACTCACCTGAAGGACTTCAGCAGGTGTTAGAGGTTTGTCTGCCACCACAGGCGCCTTGTCTCTTATCTCCTCTGCCTAGAATGTATACAGAGAAAAAAGGGAAAATGTTAGATCTGATTTTGTTTTTATAAATCTGATAGAAGCC